ATGTAGACACAGGTATGGCAAACTATTTAGACTATGTCTAGGAGCAAAGCTTAGTACTGAAATTTATAACAAAGTTAATGATATAACATTATGCAAAATTTTATCATACTGCATAGTAATCAAGCATAAATGGAGCTCTCCATGCAAATGAAAACAATTAATATTCTTTTAAATCAGCTTTTTTACATGAGGGTATGGAAAATGGGAGACAGAAGCCAGCCAGGGGCTATGGCACTCCCTGACAGTCCACCCAAACAGAATTTAGGAAAAGGGTTACTTGGCCTGAACCAATCCAATCCCAGACGCCAGCCACTATCCAGTCCCAGAACAGACTCACTGGCTGAGCTGTCTTCTGGGATTCCCTGTGAAATCTGCTTCTAAGGTCATGTGGGATATCTTCTGATGAAACAATCAGCAAAAGGAAGTTTTTTATGCAGCTTTCGAACACCTAGAAACTACAGGACCTGGTGCCTGGGGAAGAGAGGAGACAAAGGGGAAGTGGAAATGCCAGTCAGATGCCAATTGCTTTTGAAACGCATATTATTTAATATCCAGTGAACAGGGAACAGGAGGGAAGTGCATATAGGGTGAGCCTGAATGGACAAGTGCAATGAGGGAAAGACAGGGGGATGCAGGCAGCACCTGGAAGCAGAGGTAGGAATAACAAGAGAAAGCGTCACACCTTCACAAGAAACAAAATGCAGACTTCCCGAGTTTGAAATATACAGCCTGGCACTTGCTTCAGTGATCCAGTGTATCTTTTCAGGGAAAGGGGTAAGGGAAGGGTTACAAATGATGCTAGATGAGCCATGAGATCATGGGTGATAGATATACAAGGGCTCATCATATTGCTCTATTCTTATGTATGTTTCTATTTTTTAAGGGTTTTTTTAAGCTACTAAATGTTCCCCCATTTGACTCAGAAAAAGAAAAAAAACTTGAATCCTTAACACTGGTTTAAAAGGCTATGCACAATCTTGCCTCTCTTCTCCTATGGTTTCTCTGCCCTCCTCACTTCCTTGCTGTTCTCTGAGCTCACTGGGCACATGCCTAGCTTCTTCCGCCGCCAAAGTCGGTCTCTGTTGTCTGCACATGCAACAACAACAAGAGTTGGTCTCTGTTGCCTTTTAAAGGTGATCCACTGACTCACCATCCTACAGAGCCGAAGCTCGCCCCGGCCCCGTCTAGAATTCCTAATCCTCATCACTCTACATGGGTTTTTCCCTAGCGCTTATTATCTTCCAACATAGTATTTATTTATTTTATGTTTATCATTTGTCTTTGTCACCAGAATTTAAATTATTAAAGCAGGGCGGATTTTTGTTTGGATTTCTTTTAACTCAGTGTTTACAATAATAATGTTATCCAATAAATGTAAGTGGAATGAATGTAGAAAGTCTTAAGTCTGTGGCCCAGGAGGTGGTAGATGTCTTTGGCCTGAATGTTTGTCTCTTCCTCAATAGCTGGAGCAGCTAAAACAAATTTACTCCTAACCTACTCTCTTGCATTAAACAATAACAAAAACAGGATACCTGGTTTCTGAAGTGAGGAACTTATACATAGTTTATCAGAATTACTGCCCTCCTTCCCAACTTCTAGGCAGAGATTTCATAACTTGATTTGGAAACATCTAATGCTATTTCCAGTTATAGCTTGTGATATCACAAAATTCTTAACCAAATTCCTCCCAAGTCAGGAACTTCAGTCTTAACTCTAAATCATATGAAAATTGAAATTTTTTTCAAAACTAGAGCTCTGTGGTTTTTAGAAAATTTTTAGGCTTTGGCAATATTTTAAAGAGGAAATTATCACAAATTTCAAAATCATTTTTGATAGTGTGAAGCTTAGACAAACTACTTTTTTGGGCCAATATTTTATGATCACAAAAACACTCCAGGGGTATACACGTATGTGTATAGCACTCAGTACTTGCAGAACACAAAATCAATGCTCACAAAAATCTGGGAATTCTTGCCTTAAGTAATAAGTATTTACAAGCACAGTAAAGGGATTACCTATCTCTCCTTTAACAATGCTACTAATCAAACAAAAGACTGAGGCCAGCATAGTGGTACATGTCTATAATCCCAGCTAGTCAGAAGGCTGAGGCAGGAGGACAGCAACTTACTAAGATCATTTCAAAATAAAGAAATTAAAAGGGCTGAATTTAACTCAATGGGTTAGTGCTTCCCTAGCATGCATGGGGCCTAGGTTCAATTCCCAATATAAAAGAAAGAAGGGAAGGAAAGAAAGACAGAGAAACAAGGAAGAAGGGAGGGAGGGAAAGACAAGAAAAAAATTCTGTTTAATTTACTCACAAGTGATTATTCAGCAAGGCACTGAAGTTTATAGTGTAAGTGCTGTTCAGAGTCTAGATGACTTTTCCAGAGCTGACGAAAGCCAAAGACAGGCACAGGGTAAACAGGCAAATTCTGTAGCTTCCATTTCCAGAGACCAGGGGATGCTTTGCGATGCTCCCAGGTTGAGGAAAGAGTGCCATCTGGAGGATCTCCATTGCCAGGAGAAAGTCTTTCGCAAAACCAAGCAAGGGTCAGGCTACCAACATACACCCTGATCCATACAGAAACATGAGCCACTATCAAATCACCACCCAGACTTAGACTGTTGGCAGACTTGCCTTTTTAACAACCCTTTTATTACAAACTTAGGAAACCTTTCATGAATTTCATTTCTCCAAGCATTTGTGTAATTCTGATTGCTCTTTGCCCATAGATCTAGCTACTCAATGAGTAGGCTGTTAATGCTCCCTTACTCCCATAATCATCATGCTCTTTCTCAAAGGCTCTAGCCCCTTTCTAACTCAGGCTCCCAGTCAGAACAGGCAGTCTCAAGAGCCTAAGAGCTGTCAGACCCAATTCCCACATGTTCAATCAGATGATTCACTCCTACCCAGAATGAACATCGACTTCATCATCAGCTATCAATTTCTTGGCCAGGTAAGAAGACGAAGGCTGTCTGCTCTGTGTGCCATAGCTTACAAACTATTCATTAGATGAAAGTCCCCAAAGACTACGCCACCCAGCCCAAGAACCATAATAGCTGTCTGTTACTGGAAGAAGGGAAGAGCATGCTTTTCAGTTATGAGATCCCACCCTCAAAGTGCTGTACCTGACAAGCAACAGGAATAGCTTCTATGAACAAAAGAAATCTATTGCTCTGTGTAACAGCCCTGTAATGCATTTATTTCAATTCTGCCCTTAGTTCCTCAGTCTCTCAATTGCTGAGAAAAGAATTCTACCTGAAACTATGTAAATTTTCAAAAAACAGGTATTTTCTCTTAAAGCGGCCCTTTCCTCCTCTCTTAAGAAAGCCCACTTCTTTGTTCTCAAAAAACTAAAGCTTGGGCCGGGGATTTAGCGTGTGGTTTCGCCACCTGCTGCGCAAGCGGCAAGGACCCGACTTCAATCACCGGTACCAAAAAAACCAAAAAAAACTAAAGCTTGTTCAGAACATTGTTTCCTTTGTGGGTCCTCACATTAGGACATGCAGAGTATAGACAAACAGCTTGTCATTAACCCAGCTGAATTCTTTTATGAGACAAAAATTAGTCTTTTGTTTTTCTATGACCACATAGGAAAAGAAAGACTAAGCAACCAGAATGACTTGATTAAAGGGGCTAAATCACAACTAAGAACAAGAACAATTCTAGGACAAGGGGCTGGGAGGCTGAGGACTAAGCGAGCCCATCATACTAGAAACACCCTCTAGTCAGCTCATGCTTCAGGACAAAGATCACCTCCTTAGACTATTAGACAAGAGGAAGGAATAAGGGTAATGGGGAGGGAGGTGTAAGAGAGTAACAGGGGAAGATATGTTAATGTATGTATGAAAATACTATACTGAAATCCAGTATTTTGTAAAATTAATATGCACTCATAAAAATATATTCTAAAAAGAATCAGGGAAAAGAAAAAATTATTCTCTGCCCTCTTTTCAGGAGAGGAAACTATTACTTAGTAGAAAGCGACACAATCTAAAGTCCTAGAGAGATCTACGAAACTTTAACATGATGTATACCTCCAGTGGCTGCAAAGATTAAAAAACACAAAAAGTTGAGCTAAAGGATTTTCTATGTCCACCAAATAAAGAATCGGGCTTCAGGACCCAGTATTAGTAGCTCATGGCATATATATTGCACAGGAACAAGGGCAATTTAAAATCTTACATTTGACAGGGTACTGAAACAGTGAAGTTTCAGAATTGGGGGAAAATCCAACCAAAAAAATTTAGTTGAAACAGCAAAAAGTGCCAAAAATACATAACGTTCCAAGAGCCGGGGATGTAGCTCAGCGGCATAGCACCTGCCTGGCAAGCGTGAGGTCCTGAGTTCAATTCCCAGTACCCCCCCAAAAAAAATTTCAAGAGACCTAGGAATTCTTAGAAAGCAACAGGTAGTGCCACAAAGAAAGCAGATGACAAGTCAGTGAGTGTTCTGTGTGGGCCTTATATGACAATAAAGAGAAAGGCACAGAAGATGAGACAACCTGTTGGTCTTTTTGTTAAAGTTCCCACATTCTTAGTCACTGGAAAGAAACATTACAGGAATTATCCCTAATTCTTGCAAGACCAAAACAATCTCACAAATTATTTACCCTGACTCTTAGAATCTCTTGGTTGCCTTAATCCAAAGCCAGGGCCTAAAATTACAATGTATGTTGTTCCCAGAGGGCTATGGAAGCAGCACAAAATACTGCTGTCCAACAGTTTATTTTTTTCTGTCCGTGCATGTGTATGTGTGTGTGTGTGTGTGTGTGCTCTGTTTTTGTGTTGGGAATTGCGATTTCATAATTATCAAAGGAAGGTGGCTAGAGAGTTAATGAATTGAGATTCTTCGCGTCACATCTTATCCTACTATTCTGTCCTTCAACAAGGCCTCATATAGGCCAGGACATAAAGCGTTTTTATGTGAAGTCAAACTTCCAAAAAGTCTTGAAGGGAGTAATTACACCAAAGGAGGAATCCACATAGTCAAGACACAGTTTTTCTCAGAAAAATGTAATTATTTAATCTTAGCAAGGGCAGCTGCTCTTCTTTCTGTGTTCTGGAACAAGGCACGAATTAAAGCTTTTACTTCACTGGAAGAGAATGCACTTGCCAGGGGTCCTTTGCCATCAGCCCATCTGCAAAAAACAAATAAACAAACATAGAATTCTATTTCCTATTATGTCTCTGAAGTATAAGAAAGATTTTTAAATTTCTTGTTTGAACCAAATGCTTATTTTAAACAGAAACACAATAAATCTTGGGTATCCTTCCTCCTTTATAGATCTACCCATCAATATCTTAGGTCCCTCAGCTCACTGGCTGCATTTGGTATCAGCACAGCCAGACGAAGAGAGCAAGAGAGGACAGTAAGTCTGTTCCTTTGTCCTATACTCGTTAAGGTCTCTCTGAACTGGGTAATTATGACCATATTCTCCCATGTCTTGACTCTGTAACTACTTCCTAAAAAGAACAGACAATAAATTTTAACTGAAAAGGGATTGGTATTAAAAATATATAATATATATAAAGTATCATAAACAATATAAAAAACATAAATATATTAAAAAATCTCCCGTTAATCAATCTAGCAGGATAAAGGGAGGAAAAGATATGAACAGCATTTACAGTAAGAAGAAACATGGATGGCCAAAGAAAAAGATGCTCAATCTTAATAGAATTTAGGGAATTGTAAATTAAAATGACAACAAGCTGTCATTTTGTACTAATGAGATTATCAAGTCTGATAATCCCAAACACTGGTGAAAATATAAAGCGAAGGGACAAACTATGAGATATTTGTACAATGGGATTGATAGAGCAATGAAAATGAAGTGCAGCACACAAACCACCATGAATGAATTTCAAAAACATACTGCTGAACAAAAGAAGCAAGTTACAGAGGACTCTGTTTACAGATAGTGAAGAAAAGGCCAAGTCCAAACTTTGTATTCAGAATATGTGTACAAAGAGCAAAATCAAAGGTAACAGGAAGAAGGGGAGCTCTTTTTCAAAGGGGAAGGGGATCAAGAGGTAGAAGGAGAAGGGAGGTAAAGAGGACAAAAAAAGGAATTAAGATGTGTTATGTACATGTGACAACCCCATGCAGGAATGTAAACATTACGTATTATACACATGTATTAATAAAAAAAATTATCTGAAAAAAAGAAAATAGAATAATGGGTTAAGTAAAAAAAAAAAAAAAAAAAGAATATGTATAGCTAGGCATAGTAGCACATGCCTGTAATCCCAGCACTTGCCACTCTGAGGCAGGAGAATAATGAGTTCGAGGCCAGCCTGGGCTACATAGTGAGACCTTGTCTCAGAACAACAACAACAAAAAATATGCGTAAATATAAAACTATAAAGAAAGGCAAGGAAATAACACAAAATTCAAGAAAGTGGGCGCCTCTGATGAAACGCATTTAGAAGACACACATGGTATTTCCAAACTACTGGTTATATTTTTTTCTTAAATTTGTTAAGAGGTACAGTAACATTCTTTTTTCTTAAACTGTGAATATATGCTATGTATACTGTATGCCTTCATATGTATATTTTGCAACCTTAAAATGTTTAAATTACACATGACTAAGGTAGTTTCTCTGGTAAAGAAAATGTTCTTAGTTAGCTTTTTGTTCAGTACTAAGAATGGAACCCAAGGGCACACCTGATATCACTGAGCTACATCTCCACCCTATTTGAGACAGGATCTCACTAGGTTACCCAGGCAGCACTCAAACTTACAATCCCCCTGCCTCTGCCTCTTCTCAGTGCTGATTACAGACATATACACCTGGCTATTAGCTTTGCATTTACAACTCTCTGAAACAATCCTAAGCAGAAAAAAAGAAGTTGAGACGTACCAGTACTGTTATTAATCTCATTAGCAAGGAAGGAGAGGCTGCAAGAGGCTCCCTATTTTTATTTTGTAGTGCTGGGGATTGAACCCAGAAGCACTATATCACTGAGCTACATCCCCAGCCCTTTCTATTTTGAGACAGTCTTGCTAACTTCCCCAAACTGGCCTAAAATTTGTGATCTTCCTGCCTCAGCCTCCTTAGTTATTGGGATCACAGGCATGCACCATCACCTTGATTTACAAGAAGTCTCTTTAATGGCAGATTAAAAATTTTTCATCTGCTGACCTGTGAAGCATATTACCCAGACACCTTTTACCTACTAAGGACTTATTTATAACAAATCAAAACTTTGTATTAACTACAGAGATAGCTTGATGTAATTTTCTTTTCAAGTAGAAGTCTCTCTTGGGGTTTTTTGTGGGTAGGTTTGTTTTTTTGTTTTTCCCAGTACCAGGAATCAAACTCAGGACCTTGCACTCACCAGGCAGGTGAGACACCACAGAGCTACATCCCCAGCCCAGGTTGGGACTGTTTTTGAGACAGGGTCTCACTATGTAGTTCAGGGTGGCTTTAAACTCACTATGTAGCCTAGGCAGGCCTCAAACTGTGGCAATCCTCCTGCCTCAGCCTCCTGAGTGCTGGGATTAGAGGTGTGCTTTATAGTGTTTTAGATTGGACAATATGTGTTGCAAACAGCTAGGATGAGAGAGCTCATATAATTGGACACCTGCAGTAAATTAAACGAAAGCAGAGAGAGAAGTAACTATAGAGATGGAGACAGACCTTAAGGATTCTACAGGGAGTTTCCTATGCAAAGTACACATATTCATTAATAATCTACCATGATGGGACCGGGGATTTAGCTCGGTGGCACTGCACCTGACTCACAAGCACAAGGTCCTGACTTCAATCCTCGGTACCAAAAAACAAAAACTAATCTACCATGATGAAATAAAAGTATCAACGGATATATCACTAACCCCATCACTCTGGTCACGCATATTAGTACCTCTGCACATTGTGATACAATGTAGCATAATGGGCACAGCAACATTAACTGATAGTTAGGTGAAAATATCATCCATTATATTGAGGAAAAGAACCCTTTCTAGTGCATGATACTTAGCTTCTCAAACTATTGTACTCCTTACAGAAAAACTACCTACTGGTCAATCAAAAAGTCTGGTGATGTGATGCTGAATATTAAAGAAAGAAAAAAGTTATTTCTCTGTTAAGAGACCAAAGTCCTTTTTAAAATGCACCCACTGCTGGTTTAAGTTAGCAGCGATTACCATCCAGGTGTAAGATAATGTACTTACTATAAATGCTGGATCATTTGTATTGCATGCCAAAACCACATGTTCAAGATCAAAACAGTATGAATGATGTATTTGATTTTTTTGGTACCGGGGATTGAACTCGGGTCCTTGCGCTTGCGCAGCAGGCGTCAAAACCACTGAGCTAAATCCCTGGCTAAAACAATATGAATGAGAAGTCTATACTAGCCAGTGAGAAAGTAGTAATGAGATTTATACTATGACAGACTACAAAAAGGCCCCAACTACTGCTCTTCAATATGAAACTCTTCCCTGGGTAATATTAACAACTAGCACTGCTACCAATGGCACTATTATCCTTTTGTGGCTGTTCAAGAAATATATGCCTCTATGGAAGGCTTACACGCACCGATCTCCAATTTCTTGCAAGCTAGCTTGTAGTATCATCATCAATTCTTTGAAAGGCATCCATTTTAGTACATAGATTGGAACTTCTTCTTGATACTGCTTGTTCTTGTTTTCTTCGGATAGAGGTGCAAATACTTGGGGTCCTTCATCCATCACTGTTTTGCATAAGGAATATAATCTATCACCATCTTCAGTAGAGATGTCCTAGTTTCGCACAAAGGGAACATAACAGAGTAGAATTGGGCCCACTTAGTAGTAGGGAAAGGATAAGGCAAACTCTCAGCACAAGCTGACAAAGCAGAGTAGCTACAATAGTATGTCTTCCAATTAATTTAGAATATCTTACTAGACACTAGATTCTATCAGGTCTCTGAAAATATTCTGAAGCTAGAATGACACAAAATATGTTTCAACAGATAGCAATTTAGTTTGCCTGCAATAAAGAGTCCATTTCTCCATAATGTGGCAAAGCTTGCTGCAAAGCAGAAGATGTTACTACAAATAAGGGTTTTGTCAATCTATGCTTTAGAAGCAACAGCTAAACAAATCTGGTCAATTTTCCTTGTAGGAGCACACATACATTCTCAACTGTGAAGGTTTGTAGGAAAAGTAGTACCTGCCTAAGACTGTATTCACTTTACTAAATGAAATTATTTAGTTTACTTGCAAACCAAATGACTTCATACTACACAACACAGTATGAAGACTGGGAGCACTGTCCAGTTTTCAATTTCCTCATTCATTATTTATAGATGATAGACAGAGAACAAGTACAATCCTACTTGCTTATCTAGGGATGAAAGAGATTAGCAAGTCTCCAGCAAAATAGAATTAAGGCAAAATTGAAAAACTGTAACAGCATGAGTTAGACAGGAAACATGAGTAATTTCTTCTACCATCTGTGTTGATTAAAAATGAGACTTCAACACTGCTTTCATAATAAAGTCACAATCTGGGATAAGAATTGCATCTCAATTTTTACTGAGTGAGACATCATACTGTATGAGGGATACAGGGCTCTTACCTCAAGGGCAGTGATTTTGTCAATGATTTCAGAAACTGCTGTATTTAGTAAAGTCCCCATAGCCTTGCAATATATATTCACTGGCAGGACATCCTGCCATACAATTCCAAGTCTCTTTAGTTGGTGTAGTACCTGTTAAGAGAACACAGTTATTTACAGAGAAGAGAGATTGTTGCAACTTACATTTCCAGATTTACCTTATTTATTTTCTATGTATATGAGGAAAGAAGAGTTATGTGAAAGTTGAGGTAATCAAGAACATTTGCTTTCTGAATATTTAATTCTTAGCGAGATCCATGGCAGACAAAGCAGACTCATCCTGAGGATAAGAAAACTGCTAGAAAAGATAATTCATTTAAGAGAGAGGAACATGCTCAAACCCATATTTTAAATTTCCCAGGCTAGGGAGAGATGAATAAGAAAAGCACAGAGGATTTTTAGAGCAGTGAACTGATACTATACTGGTACTATACTGATACTATAATGGTAGATACATGGCATTTTGCATTTTTCTACATCTATAGAATGTACAACACCAAAAGTGAACCCTAATACACTCTGGGTGACTATGATATGTAAATGTAAGTTCATCAATTATTAACAAATGTACCACTTTGGTAGGGGATGTTTGGTAGGCCATGCATATGTAGGAGAGGGGTTTATATGGGATATATCTTTATCTTCCTCTTAATTTGCTGTGAATCTAAAACTGCTCTTAAAAAAGACTTAAAAGTGGAACCCATAAAATGGAAAAAAAATATTAAAAACCATATCTGATAAAAAAATTTATAATCAAACTAAGGAATTCTGCTAAATCAACCAAAAAAAATAGAGTAAATAAAATAAAACCAATAGAACTCAATAAAAATAAATAAATTTCCCAAATACAAATTCATAAGTCAACTACTTGCTACAACAGATTTACTAGTCACATTATTAGGTCTATGAAAAAATAGCTTCCTACTGTCTTGGTAGGGCAGGGTAAAGTTCTTAAGAAGAACTATAAAAGTATCTAGATTTTCCAGTGAGGATAATGGAGAATCAACTGAGCTATTTGTTAGGTATTCTTTGCTGCTTTTTTAAACACCAACAACAAAAAAAAGAGCATCTAAGGATAGAGTACAAATTTCAGCACTAGCAACAGCCTCCTACCTGCCGAACTGCTTTACTTGCCGCAGAATAATTCTCTTCATCATCCATGTTTGAAAAGTTCCTAGCACTTGACAATCTTTCCAGAAGTTCACCTTTCTGTACCCGCATTTGGGCCAAAAAACACTCTGTCCCTATGATGGGAAAACAAAATAAAAAGTTCTAAAAGCTGTTCAGAGTAGGAGAGGAGAGAGATAAACATATACCATGTATCTGTTCTGCCCACATGAAGATAATAGCTAGATAATATAAAGTTTGCCCTAAGGCCCCTAAAAAGAATCACTTCTAATACATATAGCTGCTCCTTCCAATCGCATTCTCAGGATAACAGATAAATCTTTCTCAGTAGTTTGTCTAGAGTCTGAGTCAGCTAAGAAAAATCACTTAAATAAAAGCAATTACTATTCTTTTCTATCTATACCACTGAAGAGAAAAATCAGAATTGAAAAAAATAATTGAACCACAGAGATTTTCTGCTTTTCTCAGGCTATCATTATGGTAAACATATTGATTTACCTCATATTTCTATTCTTTTGACTTTAATAATCCCAAATAAGGGATTACGGGAGGGGGATAACTCTCTTAGGGTTTTGCAAAAGAATAAGCTCTAACATTAATGCATTCTTACCAACAATGGTAACAGAACTGTCCCACTACAAATCTTATTATGTGTCATTCTACTAACATAATTCTGATTTGGTGACTTCAGTACATATCAACAATGAAGTTTGAAATGCTAATATACTATGAAATTATATCACAAAAAAGCAATGCTTCCACAGGCTACATTCACTTTATAAAATTAAATAACTAGAGACATTTGGAAACTAAATGACCTTCCACTTTCCAATACAGTTCAGGACCACCACCTAATTTCTAACCACCTCATTTATAAATAACATAGATACTAGGCTGAGAAGATGTAAATCTGTGTTTTCCCAAATTTAAGATATCAGTTACCAAGTCTTCTGAAGCCAGGTACAAGATCCACAAAGGTAGTAGTGCCATCACAAAGAATGGGCGCAAGACATAACCTGAACTGGTGCCCCAGGGTCAGCAAGTGGTGAGCAATGTACATACAGTTGTTATGGTGAATGGCAGCCAACTGGGGAAGTTTTTGAAGATTCTCCCTAGGCCAGGAGGAAGGGTAGAAATAGAAATCACCTATTACTGAAGCCAAGGCTGACAAAAAGTCACTACTCCTCTAATGTGTCATGATGTCACTAGGCTTAAGTAATTGTCTGCTTTATAAATGCTGCACATAAGAAGATGAAACCTCATTCCCACATCCATTCAACTGAGGTCATCCTGCCCAAATATGACCTTACCCTGTTAACTAACCCAGCTATTAACAAAAAACAAAGATCAAAAGAATCTACCTGAGTCAACTCTTTGTACTAGAAACCTAGCAGGACTATACATAATACCTTTGAAATTTAATTCTGAAAGTCTGTGGAAATACAGGTTTATTTCCCCTTTCTCCAAATTCTCATTTCATTTATATAATGAAGGACTTACCCATTTTCTAATTCACTAGCTTTTAAAGCTAATTAATTACAGATTAGAGTCACATTGGAAATTTTTTAAAATACAGATGTTTAGATTTTACCCCAAGCAAATTAAATCACAACCTCTGAAAATAAAACCTGGGCATTTATACTTCCTTAAATCTTCCCTAATGATTTTAATTTTCTTCCAGAATTTAAAAATCACTGCTTTAATTCTTGGATACGTATCTGTCTATCTACCCAGCTTAGGAAGAAATCTTGTCGTGTATTTCTGCTATACACCCATCAGCATCATTCAATAAGCACTTTCTAGTTTGCTGACTGAATGTTGGGCTGGGATATACAAGCCAGAAACCAGCACCCTGAGGCAGCTCTCCTCATTCCAGGCTATATGTCAGAATCATTTGTGGGGATTTAAAAAACACAGATGCCTGGGTCTTACACCAGACCTATACATCAAAAGCACTAGGAAAAAAACCTAGGCAAATATGTGTATCTTGGAAGCTCTATAAGTGATTCTAAAATGCTGCCAAAGCTGTAAATGTAAGGCAGGGGTTCTCAGAATATGGTTCCCTGACAAACAACACCAGCACCTCCTAGAAATTTGTTAAAAATCCAGGTGGCATCCTCCCTGCTTCAGCCTACAGAATCTTGGGCAACCTGTGTTTTAACAAGGCTTCCAGGTGGTTCTGATGCCCACTGACGTTTGTGTCCACCACAGAGTTCAAAGGTCATACAGAAGAGAAAGAGAGGTAAATCTAATGCCACAGCAGTGGGAAAAATGTTTCTAAAACACAGAAATGGGACAAAATAAAATTTATTAACAAGAAAAGAAATGTCTAAGCCACCGTCTGACTTAAGAACAAGGCCATAAACTGACCCATATGTTTTCTTTTATTTCACCACATTTAAAATAAGAACTTTAAACTACAGCAAAGAGAATACAAATAAAAATAAGCCACAATAAATAAGCTCTTTTATAATGGAAAGAAGAGGGATTAGTCATAAACATGTGAACAGTTCAAAAATCTGAATGAAAAAGATACTTCAAATAATACTGATTTTTTTCTTTGAAACCACAGTTCCTTGATTGTGAAACAGCTTTGTTGAACTATTACTAAAAACACTTATTAAAAAGCATCTAAATATTTAATTTGAATTTAAAAAACTGGGAAGCTTGAGATTTGAGTAACTTTTCAGAATAACAGATCAGATACAGTCTGTGATGCTAGAAGATCATACTAAACAGCATTCTCTCTGCAAAACTACAAATGCCAAGGGAAAATGTAGTACGTTTACCAGACAGCATATGGAATAATGTCCTTTTTGTTTTTTTTTTAACCAAGAAGAGTTCCAAAAATGCCTAGGCATTAAAAATAAGTAAAGTTCTTTTGAGTTCTAAAATTTGTTACCCACTATACTGCAAGAATACTGTAAAATTACCCTTATCAATTTAAGAGTAAATTCCCAAGTCTTTTTAAGTGTTTTTAAATGATTTATTGCATTTTCTTATGAACTTTAGTACCCAAAATATTTTCAGTGAAAATATGAAACCACTGGTTTTAATTTAACAGTTTAGGCATACAATTATTACATAAAAATGAGATGCAGTGGTACTTACTTATGATATGTTGGCACAACATCATGGAACAAATGGAAGATATTCCTCACTGAGTAGAAAAGTTGAACAGCACTAAAAGGAAAACAAAGATTTCAGAGAAATGCATAAGAATATTCTGAAGCTGAGGGTAAAAACAATCAAACTAAATATACTTTTAGTACAGGTCATCAATTAAAACCATGGTTGCAGAGAAAACCTGCTTTGGTCACTGCTAGAAAACACCACTAATCTAGATGGAAATACGTTTTCAACCAGTATTTACTAATTAAATTGCAGTTCTAAAAAACCTGGATCCATTAGTAATTTTAAGAACAGAAGCATTCAGCCTAAAGCCTCTTTTCCATTTATCAATTTGTGTTCTGCCAGGACCCAGAGTATCCTTTCAGTAACAAATGGAGCTAAGCCTCAAGCAAATGTCACCTACTTACTGCTGTACTGTGCAAAGGGCACGGTATCAATAAAGGCACTCACTGGGTTCCTTGAGAATCAGTCTGACTTCCAGCTTTCACCTTTTCTCCTTTCCAAATGCAAGGAGATGAATCAACATTTTCTAGGATAGAATCTAGCTCTCAAGATTTTTGCCCTTTAAATCTGGTCTTAAAGCACCTAAAAATTGCTATTAAAATGTACTTTAAAAGAGCAAATCTAAGGTTTGCTTACCTCAACGTTTAACTTATATACCTTGAATAATTCAGAGGGATTCCATAAATTCTTAGAAAAATAAGTCATGGCTGTTATCTTCAAAAACACCATTGCTACTAATTACCGTAACTGATTGAATTAATTCACTTTATTTTTGCTGAGTATGTTGCTGTTTGACATTTGATAATGTGGAGGGGGGCACTGTAATGGAGTTGTGTTTTTGTTTATCTTGTTAAAAACCATCTCTTTTAGTGGAATGAACATCTATAAATATTTAGTACATAAAAATAGTGTTTGGTATCTGTTTTCTGAGTAAATTTTAAAATACTGCTCCACATCTCTAACTTCTGATCTAATATATTATAGGAGAATGCTATGTGAAGAAATAATCATATCTATATTTATTCTGCCAAAAGAATATATATTTCCTTTATAAGTATGTATTTTTCTTCCTACTTATAATTAAAACTGGATGGACTTGGGCCGGGGATTTAGCTCAATGGTTCTGCCGCCTGCCTCACAAGAGCAAGGTCCCAAGTTCAATCCCCAGTACCAAAAAAAAAAAAAAAAACTGGATGGACTTATAAATATGATTCGCTAAAGCCATGGAATTATCTTGGCAAACATGTTCTTTCTGCAGCAAAATGAAGGGGTTTATTTGCACGTGAAGATTAAAAACTGCAGCTCTGACAATGTGATATTATTAAACCAAATCTAATTAAAATTGTTTTCTACTATAGAGATAAGAAGTAAACTATTAAATACAGATTCAAACCAAACAAGGTTTTGTAAATCTGTGTTATAATCAACTTGGGCTATGGCCTGCCATTTTCTTCTCAATTTAATCTAGGAGTAAAAAAGGACTTTATTAAACAAAAAGAAATTCAGTATGAGATATAGACTAATCTGATAACACTTATCACAATGTAAATTAGAAGAGGTCACCCTGAAAGGCTGAAGACAGATCTGTGGTATGTTCTCTTCTTTTCCATCGTTGGCTGCCTAAGAAATTATTATTGTTTTAAAAATAAACCTTACTTTTTTTTTTTTTTTGGTCGAGACAGGGTCTTGCTATGTAATTCAGGCTGGCCTTGAACTCACTATGTAGCTCAGGCTGGCCTCAAATTCATGGACATTCTCCTGCCTCAGCCTCCTGCAAGCTGAGATTACAGATGTATACCACTATGTCTGGCTAAAATAAAAATAAACATCTTAAATGCAAAATTAGGGCCTGGATTTCAATAGGTAAAAAGCGGGAGCATATGGTATAATTATTACTATTACCATCACCACCACAAGTAATAGTTAACATTTGAGTACTAATCATTTTCCAGGTACTTTACATAAACTGTCTTGATTCAATTTTTATAATAAAAGGTTAAAAAATAAACAAAACTTAAAGAGTGGTTTGTCTAAAAGTAATTAACCATTTTTGACATTAAAGAAACATATATGCACATTCATTTAGGTACATCTACAGTATTTCTCATACTTTGCTCTAACATCTATATGTTGTTGTAAATAAGAAATCAACAGGTATCTCTGTGCACTTTCTAGAAAGAAATAGTAACTATAGGATAAGGAAACCCAAGAATTCCATATGATTTTCTAAATAAATGTCTAGTCAGATAAAACATTCTGAATCACTGGCACTTTCAGACAACTCAAAATTCATACCACTGATCACTACTGGTTGTTGCTTCTTGTAAAGTCTGATAGGCAAGCTCCATTAATTTCTTCACTGATTCACTGATGCGGCATGTGGGCAAAGAAAAAGAATGTTGGTCCAGTGTATTTTCAGGCTCTAAATTCACTGCTCCATCATACTGAACTGCAGACACTTTCTGCACTGCTAGTTTGTCATCTTCACCAGGACTGGGTAAGTCTGGGACTTTTATCTTAGAATCAGGAACAATCTAAGATTCAAACATAGACACAGAATATGCACTGTTTTCAGAATAATTCAAATGGAAGTACACAGCTAAGTATAAGACAATGGCTGTTTTCATGATGATAAAGGCGCAATTCTATACAGTAATTAAGAGAATTGAGGAGACATGGCATTATTTTAATGACAACTCAATCTTGGGTGAGAGCTACACCTCTGGCCCTTCATAAAATTTTTTTTATTTTCAGAATGTCTTCCTATACTGCCCAGTTTAACCTCAAACTTACAATCTTTCTACCCCAGCCTCCAGAGTTGCCAGGATTACAGGCATATGTCAACATGCCATTAGGATGACTTCAAAGAGGATAAGACTAATGCTGCCTCCACAAGCTCAGCAACTGTTGTGCTCCCTTCTACTTTACTGTATGTGTCTCAAAAATAAGCTTATTCTTAAATACAGTGTAACATAACCCTGGTACCTTCACAGTATTGTGAATTTCAGAGGTCATTAGGTTTCTGGCTGTCACAATCACTTCCTGGCACTTCTTATTAGCAAAATGAGAATTGATATTACGAGCATATTTCAGCAAATCAGTAGTGTCCCCTTTTAAAAACCTCATTTCCTTTAGGGCATTTTCAAATTCTTCAGTGGACTGTATGATCTGAAAGAGAAAAATATAAAAAAAAGAGAATTATATACTGTCATCCTTCAGTATGTGTGGGGGATTGGTTCCAGGTCCTCCTTAGATACTAAAATCAATGGATGCTCAAATCTCTTATATAAAAAAGGTACAGTATTGGCATATAACCTCCACATATCCTCATTTAAATCATTACTTGTAATATTTTATACACTGTAAATGCTATGTAAATATTGTTGCACTATATTGTTTAAGGAAAACTAAGAAAAACTTTACATATTCAATAGAGACACAAGTATTTTTCTAAATATTTTCAGTCTGCACGAGGTTGAATACATAAATGCTGGACCCAAAGATACAAAAGTTCAACTGTCCATATATTTAAGTCAATGTTAAAATTTCAAATCCATGGGCCGAGGATTTAGCTCAGTGGTTCTGACGCTTGCCTTGCAAGCACAAGGACCAGAGTTTGATCGCTGGTACCAAAAAAAACAAAAATTTCAAATCCAATGTATACAAAAGAACAAGAACAAGATGGTCACTTAGATCTTAGAATAAATCACCAAATACTAGGTTTAAAAAATAGTATACATTTTTCCAGGCTTAATTTTATTAGGTAGAATATCTGCAACAGAAATTGCTGACTCTGGTAAAAGTGAAATAATTTTAAAATAAAAAAACTTACTTTAGTAGTCAAGAAAGTACTAAAATTAAGCCAAAAAATCACATAATAGCCACTATAGCTGATCAAGTATAAAAGAATAAAAAAATACACTTAATAATATACTTTGCAGCCAGGCATGGTGGTGCATACCTATAATCTCAGCACTTGAGAGGCTGAGACAGGAGGATCACAAGTTCAAGGCCAGACTGGGCTACCCAGTGAGTTCAGAGCCAGCCTGAACTACAAAATGAGACTCTGTCTCAAAAAACAAAACAAAACAGGGCTGGCTGGGGATTTAGCTTAGTGGCGCCAACGCCTGCCTCACAAGCACAAGGTCCTGTGTTCAATTCCCGGTACCAAAAAAAAAAAAAAGACATAGATATAGATAGATAGATAGATAGATAGATAGATATACATATATATATTTCCCCAGAGAGACAAGAAGCCAGAAGATAAATTACACAGAATCTGTTTTATTTCTTATTTGTAATTTTTCTACAGTTGTAACTAAAGAACAAAAGACCTGCAAGAAATAAACAAGATAGCAATAAGAATGAACAACCTTCTGTGATAGTCTGCTCTTTACCTCTTCATATTGGTGTAGCTTGCTGCTGTTTGTTGGAATAGAATAAACCAAACAGTGCTTGATGAGGCACTCAGACAAGTCCTGCCAGATCACATCACCAAGCATCTCAGCCAATATGATTGTAGATGTTTTTTCATTTTCTAAGTCAGTGTCAAGTGGCAAATCTGAATTCAAAAGAAAAAGTTTTAAACAAGACCCACTTACAGTTCTGATATATTCTTAAATCCCCTAGTTTTCTAGAATTTTTCAGTTTGGAGGTGATGGGAAAGAAAACAGCACAGATAATTCTACAGCTATCCCAACAACTGACTGTGTGGGACAAGGCATGGCACAGAATTATGATTATTTTATTTTCACTGTTCAACTGAATCATGTGCACTGTGTAACTGCCTGTTCTGTATAAGGTATTAAGCCATCTACATTGTGATCATCTACTGTTAATTTACTGACCTATTATATGACAAGCACTCAGAAGATCTGCATTTGACATTGAAACCAGGTTAGAATAAAAGCTTAATAATGAATAAATGGAGGAATGGGATAAAATAAAATTTATTTTAAAAAACAATGAATAAACATACTTTTTCCATCTCTGCATGGGCTCTAAATATTTATCTTAAATAAAATACCAAAAATATACTTTACATTAAAGCATAATATATCATCTACCAAAGAATATTTTAATGCCTCCTCTCTAAGCTAGCTTATGTCTTTTTTCAAGCACAATGAGGACAGTATATTTAGAATATCCTCTTAATCAATTAAATAACAGTTAAGAACCAATGGCCAGGCAGAATGAAGAAGAGCCATAAAAGGAACTGGCTGTTTGGAATTTAGTTTCAATTTACAAAGAAAGTTCCAAGAGTTGTCTTAGAAAAAGGTGACAATATTATCTTACAGTGTCTAAAGTGTATATCTTACAGTGTCTAAAGTTGAGGTGTGCATTGTCCAATAAAATAATGTGACTGAAGCACTAATATTTTTATTCTAATTAATCTAAATTTACATTTAAAATGGAAGGAGGGATGTACAGTTATAAAGGGAAAGCACAAGGGGCTTTGCGGTAATAGAACATTTGTGTATCTTAACTGTAGCAATGTTTACAAATATCTACACTTGATAACACTACACACACACACATACAAGTGCATGTGAAATTTGAATAAACTGAATTTTACCAGTGTTAATTTCCTGGTTTTGATATTCCATTAGTGGCACAGGATGTTAACACTGGGGAAAACTGGGTGAAGGGTACACCTCTTTATAAGGTTACTTTAAAATACAAATTTTGAAATCAAAACAAGGAAACTGTAAAATACTTTCTGTTAAACGTAACTTCATTGTTTTGGTAGGATATTTCTTTATTTTTTTTTTGATATTTCAATATAACCGCTGCATCCCTAACAATTACTATTGCATTGTCAGACATCAGTCATATAAGTCATTTCTACTATTTCACCTACCACAGTGCTGATCCAGTCAGGGTACACAGGATAATTTCATTCCAATGACCTTTTTCTCTATATGTTATTGTATCAGCATTATGTGTATTTGAATACTTTACGCATACATCACAATTTACAGTGATCTATATATACATTGTAATAGGTAGTTAAAATGAAATGTTTATGATATAATTCTTTTTCTAGTTTAAGAAAATAACTGGGCAGAATTTTAAAATTTAAATCAAGGCATACTACTGATGAAAAATCAAGGTTAGATGCAAAAACTAATAGTAACAGTGAAATAGTAAAGGAAAAATATCAGGTTGACCACAGTGGCAAACATCTGTAGTTTCGGCTACTCAGAAGGCTGAGACAGGAGTTGCCTGAAAAACACAGCAAAACTGTCTCAAAATTTAAAAATAAAAAAGGGCTGAGGATGAAGCTCAGTGGTAGAGTGCTTGTGGACAAGGCCCTGGGTTCAATCTCCAGGGGAAAAAAAGTCTGGAAGAAAGTATGCTACAAATATCATGATGAATACAAACTACAATTTGCTACAACAGAGCTAAAACAAAAGAACTGCTTGCTTATTGTATAAAAGAATTTTAAGACAATAAAGTGGACAATATTAAGAAATATTTTCAGGAAATATACTGTAAATTTGACATGCTCCCTTTCCCAAAAAATACTGTGAAAATTAGACTCCTGAAATTAAATGTCTAACAAAACTGGGATTTTAACAGGATCTGACCTTCTTACTTTGGCCAGCTATGAAATGAATGGATTCACCAAAAAAATAAAAACTTAGATGGAAAGATGGCAAAAGAAACTATTATTCCAGTAATTACCAGTGAAATCTTGTCAGAAAATTATAAGGAAAAGACATTTTATTAAATGTGAAAATCTTCAATTAAGCCATCATAGAATATTTACGGTTCATAAAGATCTTTTTTTTTTTTTTTTTTTAAATTTCAGTCCTTTTTTTTTGGTACTGGGGATCGAACTCAGGTCCTTGCGCTTGCAACGCAGGCAGCGGCACCACTGAGCTAAATCCCCGGCCCCATAAAGGTCTTTCTGACATCTTAGATCAACTAATTCAGTATCTGAAAAACTGCAAATTCCTTCTTTAGCTGTTGCTATGGTTTTTATCTAGATGTCCCCCTAAAGTCTCATGTGCTCATAGGTGGGGCTTTGGGGGGTGACTAGGAAAAGCGGTGTGATACTCATCAGTGGGTTAGTCCACTGATGACTTTATATGTAGCTAAATGTGATTTGGGAGGTGAAGCCTGGCTGGAGATCAGTCACTGGAGGCATGGCCTGGAAGGGTCTATCCTTCCTCCTCCTCCCTTGAACCCTCTCTCTGCTTCTGGTGCCTTGGCATGAGCTGTTTCTCCTCTGCCATGCCACCCTGCCTTGGAGCCAGCTGACTATGGACTGAACCTCCACCAACTGAGCCAAAATAAACTTTCTACTAGTTATGAGTGAGTACTGTGTCTCAGTGACCAAGAAAGTACTGTAACCAATACAGCTGCAGATGATACTTTGGGTACATTCTGTCTAAAAGAATGCCCAAGCTGGGCATGTGGTACACACCTGTCATCCTAGCACTTCGGAGGCTGAGGAAGGAGGATCACTGCGAGTTTGAGGCCAGCCTGGACTACACAGTGAACTGAAGGCCAGTCTGTACTACATAGTAAGACTCAGTGTCACAAAAAAAAAAAGAACATCCAGGGCTGGGGATTTAGCTCAGTGGTTTCGCCACCTGCTGTGCAAGCGTAAGGACCCGAGTTCAATCTCTGGTACCAAAAAAAAAAAGAACATCCAAATTTACAAATAAATAGTCAATTTATGACCTTAAAAAAAAACTGTGACAAACTTTTTTCTTTTCTTTAATGTTTTCCATTTGTCAAAGAAGATCTCCACTAGATATGAAAAAATTCATCCCTATTACAAAAGTGTTCCCATGCTGTTAGGTTGAAAAGTCCAGATGTAATGAAATTATAAAACAAGATGTTGATGATTCCTTTATTACTGCACTCCACTGCAAGATATGTGTGTGCATTTTTTTTCTGAAATGAACTCTATGAAAAGTGTAATGAATACTGTTGGTAAATCATTCAGTTTATATACTATAAATTATCCTTGGTTTATGGAACTGTTGAAAGAAACAGAAGACAACAAATATAATGGTCCTGCGTCCTTTCCCAATGCTTATTAGTTGACTCTGCAAGAGTTCTACGAAGATTTATTACAATGTTATTTTTCAATTCAAGATTTTCTTGAAATAAAAAGAATGCCTGCCTGTGCCTGCTTCGGCAGCATATATAATAAAATTGGAATGATACAGAGAAGATTAGCATGGCCCCTGAGCAAGGATGACACACAAATTCGTGAAGCATTCCATATTTTTATAATTTGAAATAGGAAGAAAAGGTCATCCAAAGGGGCAGGGGTGGTGGGAGGGGAAGGGGAAAGGAAAAATTATGAGAAAAGAAAAAAAATGGATATGAAGTCTATGTAAATAAGGAAGGGTGGAGGGGGTGAAGGGCACACAGGTAATAGGGAAAAAATAAGAACCAAGATACATCATGTACAGGTACAAGCACCCAATGTAAACATATTGTATACAAAAAAGAATGCCTGCCAAATATTCAAATGACCTAAGATAAAAAAAGGGTAATGTATTTCATGTTCCATTAATGATACTACATTATGCACAAACATGATGTCTGTGTGTGGCACATATAAACACATAAAGACTCGCCAAAGGCTGAACTGTAATTATCTCCCCGTAAAATTCACATTTTGAAACCCTAGCTTCCAATGTGACCATATTTGGAAATGGGGCCTTTCAATGTGGTCATAAGAGTAGAGCCCTGACCCAATATAACTGGATGACTGATGTCCTTATAAGAAGAGGAAGACACCAGAGATGCAGCACACTGGGAAAATGCACAGTGAGGCACACTGAGAAGGTCACCTGCAAGACAGGGATAGGCTTCAGAAAAAAACCAAACCTGTAGACACCAAGGCAATGAAGATAAGGGGAACTTAAAACTATGTTACTGAAAAAACGAAGGATGTTTATATTGGTAGTAAAATGGGAAAAAACAGCTACTGAAAAGACTCTGCAAATCTATCAATCACATGAGATAGGAATTAAGATTTGTTTTGAATGATTCCACATAATAAAATTAGTATCAATAAAAATAATTACAGGGCCAGGGATTTAGCTCAGTGGTTTCGCCACCTGCTGTGTAAGCTCAAGGACCCAAGTTCGATCCCAGGTACCAAAAAAAAAAAAAAGACATCACAGGACAATATATTTTGAACAAATTTTTAACTAGTCTTAAAAGTTAAATTTGCAAAATGGAAATTTTGGTTATATCACTGAGTATAGATAGGAGAGATGAGTTTTAAAAAACAAAACAAAATCCTTCCAGATACTCAGAGTTACCCTGAGGCAGGACAGAACACTTTACCAAGCGAGTTCCTTCTCACTAATGGTGCTCAGAATGGCTATCTGACCAACTGCTGGAGCCAAGGACAAAAACCGTGAGATCATCTCAACAGATGCAGAAAAAGCATTTGACAAAGTCCAATACACATTCATGATAAAAACCGTGCAGAAAGGGCTGGGGATGTAGCTCAAAGGTTCTGGCACCTGCCCCCCAAGCGCAAGGTCCCGAGTTCAACCCCCAGTACCAAAAAAAAAAAACCTGCAGAAAGTTGGAATAGATGGTCTTTATCTCAATCTGATAAAGACAACTAAGACAAACTAACAGCCAACATCATACTAAGCAGAGAAAAACTGAAAGCTTTCACTCTAAAATCAAGAACAAGACAAGGATGTCCACTGTCACCACTCTTATTCAATATAGTTCTGGAAACATCAGCCATAGCAATTAGATAAGAGAAAGAAATAAAAGGAATAAGGATAGGAAAGGAAGAAGTTAAATTATCATTATTTGCAAATGACATGATACTCTACATGAAGGCCCCAAAAACACCACCAAAAGACTTCTAGATTTAATAACCATATTCAGTAGCATAGCTGGATACAAAGTCAGCACTCAAAAATCAATAGCCTGCACCAAGGTCCTGAGTTCGAGTCCCAGTACCAAAAAAAAAATCAATAGCCTTCCTGTACACGAATAATAAACTCACTGAGAGAGAAATTAGGAAAACAACACCTTTCACAATAGCATCCAAAAAAATGAAATGCCTAGGAATCAATTTAACAAAGGAAGTAAAAGACCTCTACATTGAAAACTACAGTACTCTGAAAAAGGAGATCAAAGAGGATATCAGAAAATGGAAAGATCCCACGTTCTTGGGTAGGAAAAACCAGTATCGTAAAAATGGCCATACTTCCAAAATTGTTATACAGATTTACTGCAATCCCAATCACAATTCCAACAGCATATCTCACAGAATTAGAGAAAACAATCTTGAAATTCATTTGGACCTAGAAGAGACCTGGAACAGCAAAGGCAGTTCTGAGCAACAAAGGCAAGGCAGGGGGGCATCACAATCCCTGACTTGAAATTATACTACATGTTTAAATATCACATTGTTACTTTGATATGAGAAAACAAAAGAGGAAATAAGAACCAAACTGTGTAACAGGTATTGGGAAACTGGAAGAAAATGTTCAAATGAGAAAGTGAACAAGGGAGGGGGGAGGGGGAAAGGAAAGAAGGGACAAGAAAAAAAAAAGAGAATACAAGGAAAAAATGGAAAGAAAGCTTCTGTAAATAAGGAGAGGAAAAGGGGTCGGGGGGTTGGGAAAAAAAGAAGCAAGATATCTCATGTACAGGTACAAATTCCCTATGATGAATGTTATCATTATGTATATCTAAAATGTACCAATAAATGTTTTGCTTCCAAAGAAGGGATGGCTATCAGACCAACTGATGGAGTTGATAGAGAAGATTCAAGCATCAGGGATAACTGGATTAATCACCTTTCTGATGCCTTTCAATCCTTAGGTGCTTTGTGTACAACTCTGTTTACATCTAATACAAATAAAATTCTATTTCTGCCTTAGTGAAGAATCTAGGGACAAGAAAAACTACCTTGGATTTCTGCAATTTATAGAAGGCTTTAGAACTCTCTTCTCCTGTCAAATAATATAAGGAATTCATTAGGACCAGGGATGTAGCTTAGCAGCTACATCCTGGAAAGTGCAAGGTCCTGAGGTTCAATTCCCAGTACCAAAAAAAGACAAAAGAAAAAAAATTTTTTTTAAGACTATGTAGTTAGACTGCCCTTGAATTCATGGGCCTCCTGCCTTAGCTTCCTGAGTGCTGGAATTACAAGGGCATGAACCACCATGCCCTGCTATGTGATTTATTTATAACAGTATGTAAATATCAGGTAGACCTGCAAAGAATAGCAACATTTTTTTTTTATTTCTCCAGAGCAAGAATGTTGGCTGCACTATTCAACAAGACAAATTAAAAAAAACCAAAAAGAGGGCAAGTCAACGGAATTAAAAAACATTATTAAAATAAAACATCAGAAGAAACTTTACTTTTAATAGTATAACAATCCAAAAATTTGATTCAAAGCAACACAGAAACTATATTTCTGATATGAATATATAAAGATCTAACCAATAAGCCCAATTGAAATGTAACTTGTTTCCTGTTAAATTCAGTTAGTTTATCATATGAAAAAATGTTCAACATCACTGGTCATTCAAAAGATGCAAATGAAAACAATGCTGAGATTCCACCTCACACCAGAAAGAATGGCTGCTATCAAGAAATCAACCAATAACAAATGCTGGCAGGGCTGTGGAGAAAGAGGAACCCTGCTCCACTGCTGGTGGGAGTGTTAACTGGTGCAACCACTGTGGAAATCAGTATGGAGATACCTCAAAGAACTAGGACTGGGAGTCCCATTTGACCCAGATATTCCCCTGCTGGGTATCTTCCCCAAAGAATTAAAAGAATCATACCACAGTGATATATGTGTACTCATGTTCATAGCAGCACAGTTTGTAATAGCTAAAACTTGGAAACAGCCCAAATACCCATCAACTGGAGACTGAATCAAGAAAATGTGGTTTTTTTAATACAATGGAATACTACTCAGCCATCAAAAATGAGAAATTAAAGACATTTATTGCTAAATGGATGCACATCGAGGCAATACTCTTAAGTGAAATAAACAGGACATACATGTGTAGATACTGAATAGTTTCTCTAGTGTGAAAAACTGAAAGTGTAAATAAGGACTAAAAGGTATAATAGATAATGTGAAATAGGAAGAAAAGGGACAAAGGGGAAGGGGAAGTGGGAGGGGTAGAGGAAAGGAAAGGAAAGAAGGGAATGGAATTAATATGAGAAAATGAAAAAAAGGAAACAAAGTCTTGGTAAATAGGGAGGGATGGAGGGGTTGAAGGGAGGGCAGGGGAAGGGGGAAAAAATAAGAACCAAGAAAGTATGTAAGGGTCCAAATTTCCAATGTTGAATGTCATTATATTGTATACCTAAAATGTACCAATAAAAGGATATACAGAAAAACATTCAATTAGTTTATAAGACAAATGGAGATTTTCCTGTGGAATATGTAAAAGACCACTGGGTTCATTTCTCCTTGTCCTATAAAAAATACAAGACTCCCAAAATGTTATATTATTAGAAAGTCCAACAAGAGAAGTACATCCCAGAATTCAACTAAAATAACATTACAAATACAGAATCTGGGGTAGCTCTCATGACCCAATTTGCCAATACAGGGGAGGGAAGAAATCCAAAGTAGGCAAGAAGTAAGGTCTATTTTATTCCCAGGGCATTAACTTACTTCAGATCCTTCCTTCACCCACATTATGGGGATTTCTACCTTAAAATAATATTCACTTTTTAAAATATCCTTCTAAAACATAAAAGCACTGCTTTGGGGATACAAACCTAGAAGCTGTTTCTGGAGTACTTCCAGTACCAGTCGGATCTTCGCAAAAGCTTCAGATGGTAATGGATGTTCCAGGTCAGTCATCAGAGATTCAAAACGAACAACAACTGCTTTAGGCTGGCTTTCTACCACAGCATGAAGGGATGGGGAGGATGCCAAAGGCCTAAGGATATACTTCAGCAACATCTGACCTGAAAAATCATGTGAACTCTCATCAAAAAACACTAGAAGAAGCTGGGCAAAGTGTAGCCTGTAATCCCAGCACTCTGGAAGACTAAGGCAGATTGCAAGTTTCAGCTAGTTATAGTGGTACATGCCTAGTAATTCCAACACTCTGGGAGGCTGAGGCAGGAGGACTGAAAGTTTAAGCCCAGTCTGGGGAAACATACTAACTTAGTGCCTAAGTTAAGCCCTATCTCAAAATAAAAAATTTAAAAAGGGCTGGGTATGTAGCTCAGTGCAAAATCCCTGGGTTCAATTCCCAGTGCCATTTTTTTTTTTTTTAAGGATTGCAAGTTTGAGGCCAGCCTGGACAACTTAAGGTAATCCTGTCTCAAAATAAAAAATTTTTAAAGGTTTGGAGATGTAGGTCAGTGCAAAGGCTCTGGGTTCAATCCTAAATACCACAAAAAAAAAAAAGGACCCCAGACTTCATAACCAAAATACCTATACCATGATATAATGCACTGCTCCTTTTCCCACTGAAATTTCCCCGTTTAGAGATTATAAATAAATAAATAGGAACTAGTTTTTTTAAAAAAGGAACAAAGAAAGGATCCAAATCCATAATAAAAGCAATATTTACGACAATTCCCTTTGATGAATCATAAGGCCAAACAGCATGATTAATACTTTCTAGAGAATATTTTATAATCTTTTCTACCATTCCTTTAGCACTGGACCTTCTGAGAATTCATATAAATGAAACAAAGCAGCATGCTTTACCAAATGATTTAAGCTTAGTATGTAGTTCTCCAAGAATAGAAAACGCCAAAAGGACAGAACTGATGGGTGGTGTAGGTGTCTTCTCCTCTTTCTGGGATTGTTCAGTGCATAAATGAAGTTCTGTTTGCAGGCAGGATTCTAAGCTGCTGGTATCTAAGAAAAAGAGGGGAAAAATCAGCTGCTTCAGCAATACAAGGTACTCCCACTTCTATATTTCAGAGCCCATTCACTACTGAGATTCTTAAACATGTAGTTTCATTACTATGTATTTCTAATGCACCCAACTATTAGGACGTACATGCCCTTGATAAATTTTTAAAAGAAAGTGACTACTGTGATATGCCCAAAGAATCAAATTAAGTACAAAAGAAAGATAAGCCTAAATAAGTATGCACTGAATGAAAGCAAGGAATAAAAAATGAACTCCTAGTTTCATAGACCTCCACTTCCTCTTCTATGTTCCTTTTTTTTTCGTGTGTGTGTGCATGTGTGTTATTGGGGATTGGACCCAGGTTTTACTAGTACATGCTAAACAAGTGCTCTAAACTGAGCTGTATCCCCATCTCTTTATGTTCTTTTACCAAGAGAATAGCCTGCCCAACAAGTTTAACAGGTAGAACACATTATAATGAAGAGTTCAACATACCTGTCAGCTCTATTAATTTATAGTCTAGATGGAAACAGAATCTAATATGTTCTAGATTTCCTTCAAAATATTTAATATACATATTTGTAGGTTAAAATGGATACAGGAAAGGAAGTATGGGGAGACTATGAAGTTTCCCTTGAAATACACTAAATTTCAAGATCCAGTGTTGGACAAATGCCAGATATAGTTGCATGTCCTTTACATACACCTTCTGAGATTTCACTCTAAGGAAACACATCAAGGGGGCTCACACCAAGAGGTGGGCAGAGGAAATGACAGACAAACAGTGTAAATCAAAGTGAGGGCCAGCATAATACTACTTCTTCATCTTGAAAAGCAACTTCTGTTTCATGATCTTGTCACATTTTCCCCAAAAATTGAAAAAAAAAAAATTGAGTCAAACCTTTCCTCTACTCACAGGCCCACTGACCCAGGCCTCTTTTCCTCAGCAAGAGAAAGAATGGCTTAACAGATTTTTAAAGGTTTCTAGCCAAGACAAGCTGCTGGGATTAGGGCTGGTGATAACAGCTCCTTCTCACAAAGGAGGGGAAGGTTAGTGTGCTACCATTTTATTATGGTTTATATCTAAACTGTTCCCCAAATATCTCTGTGTTTGGAAGGTGACTGGATCATGTGGGAACTACAGCTGACTTGCCAGTAGGAGGTAGGGCCTGGCTGAGGGACGTCAGTGGGGGCACGAGCTGGAAGGGTATATTCTTGTCCCTGGCTCCTCCCTTGGCCCCTGGCTGCCATGGTTGAACACTTTTTCCTCTGGCATGCCCCTCTGCCATTCTGTTTCTGCCTTGGAGCCAGCCAATCATGGACTGAAACTGTGAACCAAAATAAATCTCTCCTTTAAATTGCAAGTTTGCGTATTTTGTCCCAGTGACAGGAAAGTGACTAAGACACTCCTCCACCATACCCTTATTACATGGCCCCCAACCATCCAATCATCCTTCTTGGGGTAGGGGACATAAAGAGGAATGTAAGAAAAGTAAAGTGGGAACAGCTTAGGGACTCAGATAAGTTGGTCCTAACAAAGCATTTTGTTTAACATGAAAACTCAACACAGACTTGGGAGATTAACAAATGAAACCTTCTCATCTTCCTATACAAAATATTTAGAATATATTCAGAGGCCAAAATGGTTCAGGCAGATTAAGCAAAGCAGTCCACCTGAGGTCAGCAGCACCTTTTGATGGTGGGAACTTCCAAACAATCAACTTCTGCCACTCTTCTCCAAGATGATAAAGTATGTTCTGTTTCTGTACTGTAAGCTCCATGCTGAGCGATTTCAACATTTTTAAATCAAAACACTTTCTTGATTTTAATAACTTCAAGCATTTCTGTGCCTGGTAGTGAAACAAAATCACTGTTAAACATTCCATCTGGACTCAGAGCAATTAAGACATGCTTGTATAATGATGAAGAATACACAGAACACAAAGTATTCTAAAAACAGAAACAGCACTAATTGGTCATGCTTTAGAAAAATCATTTAGTACCTCTTCCAGATGCTGAGCAGCAGTGACATACTTCTTCTCTGCTAATGCACAATTATATTCTTCAATAGCAGTAGAAAACTGAAAAGATAAGACTAAGTTATTAGGTATTTTATTTTATATGTCGTTTCTGTCTATTTTTTTAAATTTAAAAAAAAAAAAACATCATTTAGTCAGAGAATACACACTGAATAATGAGACCAACTGGGAAAAAACTTTCTCATAAGAAACCACTAAAGTTCAAGCTAAGGTGACTAACCTCTTGTAGCTGTTTAAGCAAATTCAGGACTACTGAGTCTCTTTCCAGTTGTTGCTTCAAGTCTGTAAATTCAGCAGTCGATACATGAAGATCCCGGCGGACCTAATTCATACATCAAAAATAAGTACTATTAATCTATACCATACCTAACCACTAAAACATTAATAAGCTTTACCAGGTCAATATAATTCGTGTTGAAATTTACACGCTAGCTCAGTCTGAAATTAAAAATCACAGAAGGTAGTAGGAGAGACTTTAGAGATCTACTTAGTCCAAATCCTTCTCCTGCAAGAACACCCATTCCCATCAACACAATATCCTCAGGTCACCTTTCTTGCTTGCTTTTTTCTTCTCCATCCCTTTCTTTTTTATCCTTCTTTCCTTCCTTCTTTACTTTCTCTTTCCTTCTTCCTTCTTTCCTTCCTTTACTTTCTCTTTCCTTCTTTCTTCTTCCTTTCCCTCCTTTCTATCCTTTCTTCCTTCCTTCTTTCTTTTTGGATTTTTCTTTTTTCTTTATTTTAGTACCGGGGATCGAACTTGGGCCCTTGCACTTGTGAGGCAGGCAGCGGAACCACTGAGCTAAATCCCCGGCCCCCTCTTTTTGGATTTTTAAGACAGGGTCTCACTATGTAGTCCAGGCTGGCCTTCAATTCACAGCAATCCTCCTGCCTTAGCCTCCTGAGTGCTGGGATTACAGATATGTACAACCATACTCAATTTTTATTCTTAATTTAAACTGTTTTCTCTCAACAGAGAGTTCCTCTACTTGGATTAATAGTAAACAGTATCCTCATTGCAAATGATAACTCAGTCTACAGTTCGAACAGTTTTAACTAATAAAATCATTTTCCTATGTTGAGGCAGAATCCACCTCCCAATATCTTTTCAGAGACTTTACATCATCAATTATTTCCTCTCTTCTATAACTTTAACCTCTCCCTACTTGAGTCTTCATTCATGAAATATTTACTGACTGAATACTTACTAGTTCATGGCTCCTCTCACCAGATTTACATAAATTAAAAATCTCTCCCATCTTCAAGAAAAAAATTCCCACTACCTAAGTAATCATCCTGTTTCTCAGCTGCTGACTTCTCTCCTCCTCTACACAAATAAGCTTCTCAAAATAGTGATCCACACTTACTGTCTTTACTTTCTCAACTCTCACTCACTCTAAACTCATTGTGGTTTCTAGCCCCATCGTTTCACCAACTGTTCTCGGCAAAAATACCAATCAATTCCTTGTTGCTAAGTCCAAAGCATATATTACTAGTATTTAACTATTTAACAATACTCGCTGCTTACTCTCCTTCCTCCTAAAACATTCTTTTTTTCTTTTAATTAAATTCTTTCATTGGTACATTGTAGGTATGCAACACAATTACATTTCTCATTGGGAATTGTACCTTTATATAATGCATCTTGGTTCTTATTTTTTCCCCATTCCTAGCCCTCCCTTCACACCCTCCACCCTTCCCTATTTACAAAGACTTTATTTCCATTTTTTCCATTTCTCATCATTTTTCCTTTCCCTTCTTTCCTTTCCCCTGTGCCTCCCACTACCCTTACCCCTTTGGACCTTTTCTTCCTATTTTACATTACCGATTATTCCTTCTAATAATTGGTACATTTTAGGTACACAATATAATGACATTCATCATTGGAAATTTGCACCTTTACATAGTTTCTCTTGGTTCTTATTTTTCACCCTTGCCCAGCCCTCCCTTCAACCCCTCCAGTCCTCCCTATTTACAAAGATTTTGTTCCTATTTTTCCATTTTCTCATATTAATCCCATTCCCTTCTATCCTTTCCCCTAGCCCTCCTACTTCCTTCCCCTTTGCCCCTTTTCTTCCTATTTCACATTACCTATTACACATTTAGTCCTTATTTACACTTTCAGTTTCTCACACCAGAGAAACTATTCTGTATTTATACATGTGAGTCCTATTTATTTCACTTAAGAGTATCGCCTCAATGTGCATCCACTTAGCTATAAATGTCTCTAATTTCCCATGTTTTATGGCTGAGTAGTACTCCATTTTATTAAAAAACCACATTTTCTTTATCCAGTCTCCAGTTGATGGGCATTTGGGCTGTTTCCAAGTTTTAGCTATCACAAACTGTGCTGCTATGAACATGGGTACACATGTATCACTGTGGTATGATTCTTTTAATTCTTTGGGGAAGATACCCAGCAGGGGAATAGCGGGGTCAAATGGGACTTCCAGTCCTAGTTCTTTGAGATATCTCCATACTGATTTCCACAATGGTTGCACCAGTCTACACTCCCACCAGCAGTGGAGCAGGGTTACTCTTACCCCACAGCCCCGCCAGCATTTGTTATTTGGTTGATTTCATGATAGCAGCTATTCTTTCTGGAGTGAAGTGGAATCTCAACGCTGTTTTCATTTGCATCTCTCGAATGACCAGTGATGTTGAACATTTTTTCATGTATTTATTTGCTATTTCTACTTCTTTGTCTGAGAAATGTCTGTTCATTTCAGACGCCCATTTTCGGACTGGGTCTTTAAATTTGGGAGGTCTGATCTTTTTCAGTTCTTTATAGATTCGAGATAGTAGACCTTTGTCTGAGGAAGAGCAGTTGAAGATTTTTTCCCATTCCTAAAACATTCTTATCCCTTAGTTTCATGATACTAGTCTCTACCGATTTTCCTCCTAGTTCTCTGCCATTCCTTATGTTTTTTGGGAACCTCATTTTCCCTCTGATCACTCCATACATAACTGATACTTTTTTTTCTTGGTACCAGGGATCGAACTAAGGTCCTTGCGCTGTGGGGCAGGCAGTGGAACCACTGAGCTAAATCCCCGGCCTCATAACTGATACTATTACTTTCTCCCTCCTGCCTTCTTATTCTGAGGGAAACTCTACCCTACCCTTACCCCAAAACATTTGACAGTGTCTGAGACATTTTTTGTTGTCACATTGAAGGAATTCTGGCATCTAGTAGAGGCAAAGGTTACTACTGACATCCTACAATTGTACAGGACAGATCTTCCCCACAACAAAGATTTATCCAATCCAAAATATCGAAGGTGTCAAGGCTGAGACACCCTGCTTCATATACTCTCTGGCAGTCTCATCCATTCCCTTAGCTTCAATTTCTAAATACTATTACTTCAGGTCCACATTATTTTCCTAACCTCCAAAAATGTATATGGGTAATGTGATGTACAAACTGTCCACCTAAAGTCATTTTCCTTTTTTTCCATAGTAATGACACTCAACTAGACTATATATTCCAGGTTCCCTCAGAGGAGGTGTGACTATACATACATCTAATATCTTACCACTGGAATTTAAGCAGAAGTGATGTGCACCTTTTCTGGGTCTTAAAAAAAAAATGGATGTGCCTCCTTAATGCCTTCCCTTTGCCCTTAACCTGTAGCTACAACCTAGTCATGAGGAAAGACCAGCTTCAGCCATGCAAACGAAAACCCTAGAGCAGTGCTTCTCAAACTGTACTGAATATACATTATCACAGGGTGAATCTCATTAAAATGCAGATTCTGATTCAATAGTTCCAGGGTGCCAAGATTCCATATTTCTAACAAGCTACCAAGTATTGCCAATGTTGCTATTCTGCAGATCTTAGGAACACAGGTCTCTCCATGGCTCCCACATTTCTGTACTGTCTTGCAAGACAGGCAATGACTGTATTTCTGGGCTATCTTTTCAAGGACGTCTATGTAGTAAGTGGCCCCCTTCCAAACCAAAAGGGAGACATGCTTGTTCTTTATCATACAAGATCCCATACTCAGGAGTATGTACAATGCAGCCCGCTGCACATGGTCCAGTAGGATGTGGGACTTTTGATAACAGGCAAAAATGCAGATATTCTGGCTGTGCTATGAATATGAATTGTCCTTCATCTCTCCCTCAAGTGACTCATGTCTCTAACCAAAATTCATGAAATTACAGCAGTCTGATTTACTGACTCATTTACTTACTAATTTTCAGGTAGATTACAATAGCTCTCCTTCTGCTGTTGACACAGGCCATACCAGGGTGACTAGGCCACAAACTGTGAATAAACTTGTCAGCTTAGACTACCATTTAAAAAAGTAAACACAAAAGTTATCTTGTTTGAGCAACTGCATTTCAAGGTCTCTGCTTTTCTTTTTCAGCCCTTTTTTTTTTTTTTTTTTACAAAAGTCTAGTACACTCCAACTGCCTCTACAAGTCCACTTGGATACACCACTGGCATCTTAAATTTAACCCAACAAATCTTCTACAAAACCCTGCTCTTTCTCTAGATTCTCAATTTCATTGAGCTAGCTGCCCACTTACCCTTTTCTCCTTCATCTTTCACTCTCTCCATCAACATGTCCCAAAGATCCTGTCTTGTAAATGTCACCAAGATTAACCATTTTTGTTCATCCCCATTGCCACTGACTTTCGAGCAGGTCAGCACCTCATTTTTCTTAAATTATTTTAACTGCCTTCTAATGCAATAACCGCCCTCCCATGTCCCAGGCTCATTTCCCTCAAGTCCTTTCTTCAAACTGCAAGCAGAATGAGATTCATAAAATTCAAATCTGATGTTTTTCCCTTACTTAAAATTCCTCACAGCTTCTACAACACTGTCAAGATGATACCCATGATACTGAGTGCTTGCTTTACCTTTCTAGCTCAATCTCATGTCTCTTCCCACTGTCCTAAAACATTAGTTATGACGAAGACCTGCAGCTCCTCAAAAGTGACTTAGTACAGTTCCTTACATCTTCCCAAATACTTTTCCTTCACCTGTTGCCTAATCACCAGACACTCAAATCTTGGTTCGGATTCTATTTCCTACAGAAGTCATCCCTAGCTACATTTCCCGTCTGTAACTGAATTATTCCTACATAATATTGTATCACACTATTTCACTCATTTATATTCATCTTGAGATTCACAGCTCAAGTACTTCATACTTCAGCAATGAGCACAGTGTCTTGTACCTTGGAGGTGCTCAATATAGCAAATGATTAATTAATCCTCTTTAAAACGAATTTAATGCTATTCTTGAACTATAAATTTGAATCCTTCTCCTATATGACAGGGTTTCAAATATTCAAAGTATTTTTTGCCAAGGTTAAATATCCTCCTTTTTTTGTTTGTTTGGTTTCTAACTCAGTGGTACAGTTTTCAGGACCTTCTCATCACAAAGGCAATCATAACTGAAAAAATTCACCAGCCATAATCCAGCGCACAAAAAATAAAGAGAGACCATTGCTGCCTTGTTTCAATCACTTCTAACAGGACAGTAAAATATTACACTATTGACTCACTAATCAACCAATCAAATAAGTACAAATACTCTGGAAACAGTTTTTGAACTACGTCAGTGTTGTAGAGTAACATTTATTTTTTTATTAACATTTTATTAACATTTATTTATTTTTATTAAAAACTAATAAGAATGATTGATAAATGGGCTGCTAAATAGATATTCTAGGTAACCAACAGTTTCCTCATTTCCCACTCAAATCTTAGAACTTTTTTTTTTTTTTGGTACCAGGGATTGAACTCAGGACCTTGAGCTTGCAAGGCAGGCAGCAGCACCACTGAGCTAAATCCCCAGCACCTCAAATTTCAGAACTTCTGAAAAACATTTTCTTTCTTACTTTCTTACTTTAATAATCATCACATGGAGAACAGACTTGATGTCTTTCCTTGGTATTAAAAACCTTAAGAATACCTCAACAACATGATTTTGGATATCAATGATCCCTGAGCAATAATTTAGAAATAGATATAGAACACAAGTAAGGTTAAACTTTGTTTAAAACTCTGGTATCAGTATGCTTTCTTCCAACTACTTATTTTTCCTTTAAAAAATAATGCAGGGAAAAATCCCGGTAAGCTAAAATATGCACAAATATTTTTTAAATTATGAAAGAGGTATTTCTTTCCAGATTTGCTTATTTCTTTTTGTGATGCTAGCACTTCAGCAAACATGGTAAACATTTCTACATGTGGTTCTATTTTTTTTTTTGGTACCGGGGATCTAACTCAGGACCTTGCACTTGTGGGACAGGCATGGCGCCACTGAGCTAAATCCCCAGCCCCACGGTAAACATTTCTAAAACCTGCAAAAATCTTTGTAAGAATTATAACAAGCGCTAGCCCACAAAGTGACACTGTGAAAGAAAACCAAAGACCCACTGTACATGCAAGGAAAGTAGCTTTATGACAGAAAGTAGAGCAGTTGCGACGGACAAACCATGTCGGCTTTCCAGAAAAAGGCAAAAAAAACCAAAGATCGTTTCGAAGCTTGAATGTGTTGAAGACAGCTGCAGATCTAAGAAGAATATTAAGACTTTAAGAGATGCCAGCAAGGACTGTGGGTGTAGCTCAATGCTATAGCACCTGCCTAACACACCCAAGGCCCTGAGTTCAATCCCCAGGATGAGGGGGTTGGGAAATTATTTCAACCCAGAAGACAAAAGGCCAAATGATCTAGCTCTAAGCTTCATCTGTTTTTATTTTCTTATGAAACAATGAAGTCCTATTATTAATTTGTAAAGTGCTATTCAAATGGAAGATTATTATTGTAGCTAAGAAATTTTTTACCACAGAAAAGAGGTAGAGTTTTGAAAATATTTCTAACTCAAAATTGACATCATCATACAATCATTTGGTTCAACCTCCATTTACTAATAAGAAAAGTGAGGTCTTGAAAAATTTTACAGAATTGATTAGTCTTAGAAATCAAGAAGCTCGGACTGGGGATCAGCACCTCCTCCCTGGCAAACGTGAGGCTGTGAGTTCAATTCCCAGTACCAAAAAAAAAAAATCAAGAAACTGAATTGCATCCATATATATCTCCAGTATAACAAACCTTTCTTACCTCACTCTCTATCCTGGATTTCAACAGGTCAATGTCATCAGATAACTTATCCACCTGGATAACCAGGTCTTGCGCACTCTGCATACTTGGAAGGAACTCACTGTACTTCTTGCTGATCATACTGCACACCTCACCCTATGATATAAGACAGATAAGTATAATATGAGACAATGAGATAAGGGAACTTTTAAAAAGCATACACCTTGTCTTCCATAAGACATCTTTTTCTTTTTTTTCTTTTGGGTACCGGGGATCGAACTCGGATCCTTTCGCTTGCGAGGCAGGCGGCAGAACCACTGACCTAACTCCCCAGCCCAAGACATCTTTTTCAAAAAGATGTATTATGTACATGTACCAACTCCCCACAATAAATGTAATCATTACATACTATAAACATGTACTAATAAAAATAGAAATTTTTAAAAGAGAGGCTAAACAAAAAAAAGACATCTTTTTCATATTGTAGCTTTCTTAACAGCTACCCATAGCCTTCCCTCCAAGCCAATGAGTTCTTTTCAAAAACATATTACTTTCACCCTTAACAGTCTCATCATTATTAGGATGTAAGAAGACAATGATCAAACGTAATAGTACCCAAGGAATGTAAAATGCTGGAAGAGAGAAGGGTGGAGTCAGAAATTCTCATTAAGCTATATAAGACTATATATACTAATTCTAATCACATAGAAAAGAGTGTAAGTGGATAAATTCAGTCCATAATCTGTACGTTTCGATATTATTAGTTTCTTTCTTCTTGCCTATAAAATTTTAAGGCCTAATTCTGAAACTCTAAAAATGATTTGAATTTCATTATCTCCTTTAATTTCAATTAACTAAGAAACAAATTACTGAATACGCTGCACTGAATTATTCAGTGCTTTAGAAGATGTAAGAATTATGTTTGCGCTTCAATTCCTTTTAGGTAGGGAAAAAACTATACAATGGAGCGACCAAAATAGAGACCTGAAATGTAATACAGCAGAGTTGTCCTCCAGGAGCATAAATGAGAAAAACTGCCTCTCTTGAGAGAAAATGGGGCATATTTTATACAGAAGACTACACTGAGACAGAAGCTGAAAAATGGGTAGAAATACACTGAAAAGTGGTAGAAGGGTGAAGGAATGGCAATACAAGCACAATCTGGGAACAAGAAAAAAATGGGTTCTACTTGGAGCAAAACACTTCATCCGCTAAGATTCAAGTTGGTAAAGGAAAATAGTGACAGGGGAGGTAAATTAGGTCCAAAACATGTAGGAGCCTTTGGAGCCATGCCAAGTAGCTCAACCTGTCCTCTTCCAACAACATGAAAAAGTGGTGAAACATCTTAAAGCCATGTTACAGAAATGCTAATGATGTGAAAATTAAAATTTAGGAAACCACTTTTGTATAAGCAAGAGTTGTTAGGAAGAGCTGTATTATGTGCTTTCATGCATCTTGTGCATGCCAAACTTGCTTCCTTAAATCCAGACTTAATGCAGGTACACATACTTCTACAGAAAAGAAACCTGAACACACAGGCAAATACTGTCAAAGCCAACAATGTCAGACAAAGTGGCAGTGTATGTGGTTATGTGCAGTAAGCCCATATATCTATCACTGATATATTTTATGACACTCACTCAGCATAGCCCCAAGGGCTTAAGGATGAAGACAACTTTAGAACATATGAGGGGGTAAAATTTCGGGAAGGAGGATGGCGCAATCCCAATCCTCTCAGATCTATTACGTTCATTCACCAACACAGATGGGGTGGCTGGTCCCATCTTTCTATCCCTCTCAAGACACCTCGAGGTTTCCAGCTACAGTCCCGCTCTGCCTTTCTCGCCAGTCTTCCTCCTTCCCCTAACCCACCACTCGTCTCCACCTGAGCCTAGCACCCAACACTCCTCGCAAGCGCCCCGCCCTCCCCAGTAACAGGCCTCCTCAGTCCCCAAGAGTTCCCTGGACTCCCCATCAAACTCCCTCCGCAATCTACATTTCTCAACCCTGCCACCCTGCAACCCCCAAAATCTCCCCGACTGGCTCCATTCTGGGGATACCCACCGTGTGTCTTTAAGCCCCATTCCCTTTCCGTCACCTCAAACACCACCCCGCGCCTTTTGCCAGCCAACTAACAGCTGCACCGCCCTCACCTTGATCTCCTCCACCCGCCGGGTCAGACGACAGATCCGGGTGCCGAGATCCTCCTTCTCCAAGCTCCCAGAGTGAGCCAAAACTTCCGTAACGAAGGAAGCCATCGCCGCGACAGCAACGTGAAGCCCAGTGGGTCACTCTAGCAGCCAGCGCGGCACTCCCCTCCCGCCCCCGGATTCCGCGCTCGGGCTGCCGGGAAACAGAGTTTGGCTGGGCCCGGCGCATGCGCAAACGCGAGGGCTGCCCTACAGCTCCCAGCTATCCGCGCCGGACTGGCTGGGATCCACGTCGTCCCAGAGTAGGCCAACTAGGAGACACTATTTCCTCCTTGGCTGTTTTCAAATGCGATGTCGCTTCGCGCCCGTTCTTCACTGGAAAAACTGAAATGTTTTTTACCTAATAATCAGGACTAACTGAAGGCTTCTCAACTTCAGAACATTCATCTGTGAAATTATCTGGCCAGAAGAGTAAAGGAGCCCATCTGGATCTTTCTTTCGTTAAGGGCACAAGGAGCAGCCAGGTCGCAGTGGTGCATGCCCTAATCTCAGTACTACAAAGGATAAAGCAGGAGGATCGCTGCCAGCCGGTTCAAGATTATCCTGAACTACATAGCAAGACGGGGGTGGGGGGTGGGGGGGGTGGTTTAATACAAGTTAACTTTGGTCTCTACAAAGAGTGCTCAAAGTGGTGACCGTTAGCTTCTAGCCATTTATTAGTATGGCGAACTGCTGGGTATACAATTTTTGGTGAACTCTATGTATGTTTTTCTATTTTTCTGCAGTACACGTGCACTGCTTTGCTTAAAACATTACCTCCCATTTTAACAAAAAGAGCTTATGGGAGCTAACCTCAAGTAGGTGCTGACCCTAGGGTCCCTGACGGTTTCATGTATCTGGGAATAGTCTGCTTATCCTAGTGAAGCAAAGACAGTTTCTGAGACAGGAGGTGCTGAAGGACAGCCGTATTATCCTGGGAAGGGCCTCTCCCTGGAAAACCAAATCAACTGCCTCTTGGTAGACTGATTGGCCTTACTTGAAGGAAAGGTACCCAGTCTCTGACTTAGGGAAGCTTTACAGTATGACGGGAGCTAAACTTAGAATTGAAAGAGGTGCTGTTACGGGGTACTTCTCAGTCTGAGACCGTAGATTAGAGAGAGGGAGAAAAAAACACCATGCCCAGTGGGTCTTACCTCCTTCTAGCTAGCTTCACCAAAATATGTTACTGGGTTCCAGGGTACTGGAGTCTCCTAGTGGTACCTTCTAGGTTCTTTTTATCTTTAACAAAGAATTGGACAAAAGCACAAACGGTAGCCACATATTTATTAAGGTAAGAAAAAACTCTGCAGAGTAAGTGTAGGCCAATTAAAAGTAGGAAAAGAAGTATGATTTACAGAGTGAGAGCAACCCAGTGAAAAGGCTCACAACCACCACAGATGGTTAATGGCTATCTTTTGTATCTCGCACTCCTTGGGCTGACATCTGGTCTTGAAAAATTGCTTAAATTCCTTTGAGCAGAATTGAAGATTGGTTTTAGGTGCAAATCTTGGGCATTTGTCTCCTGGATGTCTGTGTTTAACAGGTCATACTTACCTGCCCAGGCAGTTTGCCATCCCCTAATCTCCTGCCTCATTTCCCCCTGAGAAATATAAATCCCTGTAATTCTTTAAGGGGTGTTGAGGGTGTGAGGGTCTCCATCTTCATAGAGCCACTTTCTACTGAAAGAGACTATAGGCCCTACCTACTGGGGATTCTGTACTCTTGAACTACCTTGGGATGTTGTGGCTTACCAGCTGGACTGGGAGGGGTGCCTGTCGGAAGAAAATGAGAAAAGAGTTAATGTCTCTATGTGAACTAGCTGATCAACAGAAGAAATCTTGGTGAATTTGTCAGGACAGTAACTTTATTATTAGGTTGGGGATGTAGAGCTTAAATATGAGAAGGAACAGGTCAGATTTTCATAGCTTCCATGAAGGAGACAGTATGACAAAAGGGATAAATTACCAAGAGCCTCAGAGCTAGAGCCCTAGCAAGACTCGCCGCATTATGGATCTAATCAAAAACAGGAGTCTCAATACATGTATCCCTTTAAACTATGGTGAATGAAAGGTCACTAGTGACTGTACTTATCTGCACCCAAAGCAGTACTGAGTTGCTTTTTGAAGAGGAGTCTCAGGTCATCCAGAGGTTCACAGGAGTAGCTTTTTCTAACAAAGGATGTGTGTGCTCACTGAAGCAGCACATATACTAACAAAGGAGGTGGTCTGGGATTGCCAGAGTTATTGTAAGCACAATGTGAAAGCTTTACAGACCTGTCAGGTGATCACTGCTAGTCCTAATCCTGTAAAAATTTAAGTGGCCATTCCCTATGTAGAGATTTTATAGCTTTCCACTGTGTCCCTTGAAGAATGACCAGTTTCATGGTTCCTTGGGAACTGGGAGTAAGGCTAGGGTCTTGAGGGGCTGTAAGGCTTCTCTTCTTTCCTCTCTACCAGGCTTTTAATTTCCCAAGTAAACTTTAGACATGTTTCTTTGGGTCTCTTGCAATAAATGACAGTGACCTTCTTGGGGAGTTGCTGATTAGTCAGCAAGCCCCTTTATTTTAGATTACTCCATGGGCAGGCAGCAACAGAACGTGTACTTGGGATCTGTGAAAATATTTAGCTTTTTACCTTTTCTTAATATCAATGTGTGAGTAAGGGCTATGAGCTTCATTTTTTGAACAGAGGTCCATGAGGCAAGGGGTTTGGCCTCAAACCTGGTTGTGAACTGACAATGCATAATGTGCCTTTTGATATTGTTCTTGGACAAAACTACTTCCATCAGTGGACCACTCCTCCTCAGGGTCTTGGAGGGGCAGATCACTGATGTCCTGCTGGCTCACATAAGTCTGGGAAATTACCTGTTCACAAGAGTGGCTAGCTTCTGAGCCAGTAGGCATCAGTGAGGCAGGATTAAGAGTAGTGTAAGTATTTATGGTAACCTCAGGGGTGTCTACAAGCATGGCCTGATGTAGTCCTAATAAGTAAAATCTGCTTTATCCTTTGCCAGAATCAGAGAATTGTCTCCAATTTTGCTAGTAAACCTCTTCCTAGTAAGGGAGTAGGACACTGTGGGACAATTAAAAGCTACTGGTTAAACATTGGCTTTCAAATTGACATGTCAGAACAGGAGTAAAGAAGTTCTGACTAGGCCAGGCATGATGGTACACACCTGTAATACCAGCACTTGGGAGGCTGAGGCAGGAGGATCACTGCAAGTTCAAGGTCAGCCTGTGCTACACAGTGAGTTCAAGGCCATCCTGAACTACATAGTGAAACTGTCAAAAAAAAAAAAAAAGTCCTGACTAGGGTTCTTCCTCACCCTCAATTATGGATACAGATGGAGAAAACAATTTTTAGAAAATAAAGTTAAAACAGAATTATTGAATTTGTCACCTATGATGTCTAAGGTCACCTGTAGTTCTTTTTAAAGAGATGGAGATGTCAGACTACTTCTGTCACTATAGCCCACTCTTTCTGAACTTTTTTTTTTTTTGGTACTGGGGATCGAACTTGGGTCCTTACGCTTGCAAGGCAGGTGGCGGAACCACTGAGGTAAATCCCCGGCCCTGTAGCCCATTCTTTCTGTAGAACGTACTTATTTTCCTATTTTCACTTTGCCCAAACTCACTCTGCAGAGCCTGTTTCTTTTCTTACTTTTAATAAACGTAATATTTCGTACTGTTTGCACTTCTGTTTGCCAATTCTTTGTTCAGGACAGAAAGAACCTAAAAACCACCTCTAGAAGGAGACTCCAGCACTCCAAAACCTGGTAACATATTTGACATAGCCAGCCAGAAGCAGGTAAGACCCTTTTGGACACATTTTTGGTTTCTTGCTCTCTAAAATCTATAGCTAAGAAGGTGTTTTTCTTTTCCTCTGTCTCTCCTAGGAAAGTGCCAATCTCCTTCTCATCCCTTCTCCCCCAGAACAGGCTTTCATCCTTCAGAGAGCTTCAGTCCTTTTTGGTTATCAGAGGGAGGCAGGGATCTAGAGGATGGTAAAAATTAATGGAAGCTGGGGAACTCGGGAAGCTCTCTCACACACCAGGAACAGCTTCCTAGTGTGTCCTACCATGTGGAACAGGAGAGAAGGAGCACATGGCCTCATTTTTCCCAGCCATTAGGAGGACCATAGGTCTGCCCCACATTTATTTCCTCTTTTCTTTCTTCTCTTTCCCATTTTCAGTCTCATTGCAGTAAAGAACAGCCAGACAACTTATTAACCCAGTGGCAGAACAGATCATTCAGGTTCTGTGTGTACAACCTAGCATTGAGTATGCCTTTTTTGTCCTCACGTTTCTGTACTTCATGATAGTTTACTCAATGTTCTCTGTCTTTTGGGAAAAATAGATTTTTAGTAACTTAGTCTCCTGCCTGAGTAGCCACCTACCCTAGTTACTACTTTTTGTGCTCAAAGTCTCATCTGTGTTTTTCCCCTACATGCCTTTTATCTCTGGGTATCATCATTAGTGAGTTGCTTTCTCAGGACCTTGTTTCACCTTAGTCCACCTTTCAGCATGATTGGCAGCCATTTTGTTTCTTCTTGTAATGCATGAGTTGGCCATATGGTTGCATCATGTTTGTTCACCATTTTCTTTTCAAATAACCTCATCACCAGGAAATTTCACTCTTGTAGATAGGATCTAAGCTTCTGATTTTAGGGAACATGTGGGCTTCTTCCCCTTTTCTCTTTTGAACTAGGTTAAGAACCCCTCCTTGTTTCTTCTAACAGAAATTCAGGTAATTTAGAAATACATTCCTGATGGCCTGAGGAGAACAGAGACAGCCAGTAAAGATCAACTCAAGCAGCTGTGAGTATGCAAAAGTAGAGCCATGGGTATACTAATGGGGGTAAATGCAAGGGATACTGTTTCCTCAAGTGGCAAAGGGAGTCCCTCTGCTGGAGACTACACCCTGATCCCCAGATGGGGGAGCTCTGACCCTATTTCAAGTGACTAAGAGAGTCCCTAGGCAGGAGGTTCCACTCTGATCTTACAGGAATTTCTAAAGGAACCCCTGAGCAGGGTCCACACTTCTGTCTAAGGAGATAGTGAGCCAATGCACCATGGGAAACACCTTGAAGATTCCAGCTACCTCACCATCAGGCCGCATCCTTAAAAATTGGGAACAATTTGACCCTGGGGGAGTTATAGTGGGCCACAAGGTATGGAGAGTTCTAAGGGAAAAAAAAAGGCTCTAGTGGTACTTGCTTCATCAAAGATGTCTGCTAGTACAATTGAGTCTCACAGAGAATGCTCAAGGACTTATAGGTTTGCATCCTTCTACAGGGGATGCCCTCTGAAGGACACCAGAACCAGTCTTCTCTCTCTTTCCATTACCCTCATACAGGTAACTAGTTGGAGCCCTAGGGGCTCCACCCTTGTCTTTACTATTACAATACTGTTTGGGTCCAGTAACTGGGGAATGGCGAGACATGGGTACAGAATGGCAGTCTAAATTCTTCAGTTAGATTTCTTTTTTTTTTTTTTTTTGCAAAAATCAAGGAAAGTGGTGAGAACTCCCTTATGTTCAGGTTTTTATGGCTCTATACCTCTGTAAAGGCCCAAGAACCACAGTACTTAAAGAGGACTCCAGAAGAAAAAAATGCCTGTCCTCAGATGCCTACCTGTCTCTCAGAGTGATATAGGTCTCTCCTACGTATTTCTACCAGAGGCTAGTGGTCCAGAGAGACCTAATATTTTCAAAAGACCTTGGTATGTTTGCAGATGGGGCCTCAAGACCGTATGACCCAATTGCTGGACATAATCTTTTCTGTGTTCAACAACTAGAATCAAGATGAGGATAAAAGGAGAAAAGTTGAGGGAAAAAAAGCAGGTGGCACTTATAGCCATCACAACTGGCAATGTATGAAGTACACCCAAGTCATCTAAGGAAAAACTCAGAGCCAATCAAGGACTGCAAGAAATTAGGACACTGTGCTGAAGAGTTGGATCAGTGATAGAGCTCTTGCCTAGCATGCAAAAGGCCCTGGGTTCCATTCTCAGCAGTGCAAAAGAAAGAGAGAAAGAAAGAAAGAAAAGAAGAAAGAAAGAAAAGAAAGAAGCCAGGACACTGAGCACACAACTGTACAAATCCACTGTCTGGGCATGCTCTATGTATCCTGACTCATGGCACTGGAGGATTGAATGTCCCTGATCCCAGAGAGGTGATAGGCCAGCCAAAATCTTCACCCCCAGCCTGGCTAAAGAGGACTGAAGAGGCCTGGGGCAACTTGCAATGCCCTTGTCCACAGACATCTTCGTCTAGTGAGAGAAACCCTAGGTGACCCTTGATTTGTGGGTAAGCAATTTCAATTTTTTTGGCTTATGTTTTATCATCTTTCTCTGGAAAACCCCCTGTTGAGAGTCATTCTACATAAATTTTGGGAAAAAGTCATTTCATAATTAAATTATGACTATTACTGTCTTAGGCCAGTGTCACCATGCCCATGAGCCAGCTATGGCATGCGGAAATATAACTCCATTTTGCCTCTGGTCACAAGTTGAGGCTTCAATGATCCAGTGATACTGTGATGCTCAAGGGCAATACTGCATCAGTTGAAGCCATCCCGGTTCTTTGAGAACCACCAAGTAATAATAAAAGAGAAAGGTTTCACCTGGGGGAAGGACAACTTCTTTATTAGCCTTCTATCTCATCCCACCTACTCCTGTAAGAATGCTCTCCTTACCACCTTCATCAATGTAAGATCCTCATCGACCTAAGATCCTCATCAGCATAAGATCTGCATCAACATAGGATTACTGTTGCCCCCTAAATCACCTAATACTCCCTCCAATTATTGTGTGTACCCAATAAATAATGGCGAGCTCAGAGTGTCTGTCTTTGCCCACTCTGAGGCACTGACCTCCCAGCCCCTCATATACTTTGAAATTACACAAGTCTCTATTGTCTTTTTTTCTTTAGCCCTCACCGTCCCCCTTTCTAGGCAGTCTGAGGACTGATCACTGTCCAGTAACACCTCCCCTAGATCTACTGCCATAATTGGGTTCAAGGAGATCCCTAGTCAGCAACCTGCCCCTCCGAGATCCTGAGGAGGTACTGTTGGGAACAATGCTACATAATTTTAGGGAAAAACCATTTGATTACGCCTAGTTCTCCTGCCTACAGGCCAGCTATGGGATTTTGAGACATAATTCCATTTTGGCCCCTGGTCACAACTGAGACCTCAATGATCCAATGAGGCTGTGATGCTCCAGGACAAGATTACACCAGCTGAAGACATCCTGGGAGGAACAAAATCTTCATCTACTCAGTTCCTCATTGTTCTTGAATTTGTTACACTTTGTTTATCACGAAGTACAGAACTCTCTGCAAGTCATTTGTTACAATTGTTTCTTCCGATGTGCTGAATAAAAGGTGCGGCAAGCTTGGGGCTTTCATTTTTGCTGCCCAGAGCAGCACTGATCAGACCCAAAGCTCAGCTTCTTTTCAATCTCATTTTTTTTTTCTACCTTTCCTGTATAATAAGTTAATTCGCCTTGTGCTGCCATGGCTCGCAGAAGACTAGGACTTGCTGCAGAGGTCCTAGTAACGTCCCCTTTCCCTGTTCCCTACAAGGTACGCTTCACTAATGGAAGCAGCTTTGTCCAAGGACATCAAAAGGCAGGTTGTGTAGTTTTTCACAGCAGGTCACTGAGACCAAACTCCTTCTCCCAGGGACCTCTGCCCAAAAGTCAAAGGCCACAGCTCTTATTTGGGCATTGAATTGATATTAGGAAAAGGCAAAAAGCTAAATATCTATACAGACTCAAAATATGCCTTTCTGATGATACATGCCCATGCAGTAATCTGCGGTGGGGGGCATCTGCTAAATAATAAGCAGTCATCTATAAAACAAGAAATTCTGCAACCCTTACAGTAATTTATCTTCCCAAGCAGGTCACTCATTTATTGCAAAGGACCCCAAAGAGACATATCTAAGGTATTTTGGAAAATCAAAAGGCTAGTAGAGAGGAAGAAGAGCAGCCTTACAGCCCCTCAAGACCCTAGCCTTATCCCCAGTTCATGAGGAACCATTCTGGGCCTTGCTCAAGGGACACAGTGAAAAGTTATAAAAATGCTAGATGAGTAATAGTCACTTGAATTTTCACAGGACTAGGAAGAAAGCCATGCCTGTGAACCTCTGGAAGATGTGAGGCTCCTCTTCAAAAAGCAAGACCAATACTGTTCTGGGTACAGATAAGTAAGTGGGCACCCATATTGAGTCTCCTGTTTTTAATTACATCCATAATGTGAGTAATCTTGCTAAGGCTAGGGCTCTGAGGCACTTGGTAATTCATCTAAAATCTCTCTTTGCTATACTTTCTCTTCCACAGGAAGCATGGAAATCTGACCTGTTTCTTCTTATATTTGGGCTGTACATCCCCAACTTAATAGTAAAGTTACTTTCTTTCTCACATTAAAACAGACATCTTAACAGTAACTACCCCTTTTCTTATTTCTTCAACCCAGCAAGTGAGCCACAACACCCCAAGGTAGTTGCTGAGCAAATAATCCCCAGTAGGTATGGCCTTTAGCCCCTCCCAGCAGGAAGTAGCTATATTAAGACGGATAACTGCACTCTCTCAGCACCCCATGAAGAATTAAGGGATAAGTATTACTCAGGGAAATGACTCATAAGATTAGGGCGTGGCAAAGCTGTCTGGGAAAGTAGTCATCTCCTGTTAATTACAAAATCCCAGGACACACGCATAAAACAGTCCCCCAAGCCCTGCATGTGGACTTGTCATTAGAACTTGAGCAAGTTTTTGATAGAATGGTCCAGATCTGATGTCAGCCTAAGGAGTGGACAATACAAAAAGGACAGTCACCATTGATTCTCTGCTACTGTGTTCTTTCACTGTAGCCCACTCTTTCTGTAGAGCATACTTCTTTTCCTACTTTTACTTGCCACAAACGTGCTCTAAGAGCTGTTTCTTTTCTTTTTTCTTTTTTTTTTTTTTTGGTACCAGGGATCGAACTCAGGTCCTTGTGCTTGCACAGCAGGCAGCAAAACCGCTGAGCTAAATCCCCGGCCCCTCTTTTCTTATTTTTAATAAATGTAAACTTGAGGGCAGGGGATTTAGCTCAGTTGTTCCACCGCCTGCCCCGCAAGCACAAGGACTTGAGTTCGATCCCTGGTACCGGGAAAAAAAAGAAGAATAAATGTAAACTTTTGCTATGTTCATGGACAGGCATTGCAGATTGCCTTGGGCCCTTTCAGTCCTCTTTATCAGGGTGGGAACTGTGGGTTTTGGCTGGCCTAGCCCCTCTCTGGGAGTGAGGACAGTAAATCCTCCAGTGCCATGAGTCAGGTACATTGGCCACCTGACACTCAGAGAAGGGTCCAGGTGGTGTTTGGTATAGTCATGTGCCAGGCATCCAGTTTTACGTAGGCACTGATTCACCTTGGGTTTTCCCTTGGACAATTTGGGTGTCCTTAAAGTATTGCCAATTGTGACAGCCATGATTTTGGTCTGTATTTTTTTTCAGCCCTTCTCCTTTCATCCTCATCTATATTGCAATTTTTGGACACAGAAAAGACCATGTCCAGTAGTTGGGTCATATTTGAAAAGACTGGTTCTCTCTGGGGTACTGCCCTCCAGTGGAAACAGATGGGAGAGACCCACATCCCTCTGAGAGATAGTTGCAGAAGAACAGTATTATTATTGGTTTTTGTTTTAACTAAGTACCTCATGCTTGCCAGACAGGTGCTATGCCACTGAGCTACATCCCTGGGCTGACAGTATTGCTATTGGAGTCCCCTGGATTTTGATTCTCCTGGATAGCTACAGCAAAATGTTATCATGTAGCACCTTCTAAAAGTGGCTCACCAAATAAACATTACTGGGTTCTGGGTTGTTTGCTGCTCCTTCTGGAGTTAGATCCAGGTTCTTCTTGTCTCGAACAAAGAATTGAATGAAATGAGCAAAAAAGCAGTGGCAAAGTTTATTTGAACAAGTAAAAGTGAAGAATGAGAGAAAAATTGGCTCTGCAGAGTGAGCTTAGGGCAAGTAAAAGAGGAAAAAGCAGGATAAAACACCCTGGAGAAAGCAGGGCAAGCTCTCATGAGAAAGACGCAATAGCAAACTCTTCTTGGAGTCTATGTCCTTTTATGCTGTCCAAATCTCAAGGAAACTCATGGGAAATTCTATATATGGGTCAATGCTGGGATCCCATGCCTCTCGCTATGTCAGGTCTAGGCCATCCTATTGAAAATCTGCTCATGAGAAGTCCATGTGCAGGGCTTTGGGAACTGTTTTGTACATGTGTTCCGGGATCTTGTAATTAACAGATCAGATCTATTTCCCCAGCCAGCTTTGCCACACCCTAATCTCCTCTTTCAGGATTATCAATGATACCAATATTTTCCTTTGGAGGCCTCTTTTTTTTTTTTTTTTTTTTGGTACCAGGGATCAAACTCAGGACCTTGTGCTTTCGAGGCAGGCACTGGAACCACTGAACTAAATCCCCAGCCCTTGGAGGCCTCTTTAAATACCATGTTTCTTGTGCCTTTACAGAGATAAAGAACCATAAAAGCCTGAACACATGCGATTTCATACCACTTTTCCTCACCTTTTGCAAAAACAATCTGACTAAAAAATACTCTACAACCTAATGGTGAGGTCACTGGGACCTTCAAGGTGCTTCTCATGGTGCATTGGTCTATTGATTTTTTAGAGAGATGGGTGGAGCCCGTTGGGGTCTGCCCTAGACACTCCCAAGAGCAACTTGAAAAGCATTAAACTCCTAAGCAATCAAAGTGGAGACCTCCAGAACTCCCTTAGCTACTTGAGAAACACTTAAGAGACCAGAGTGGAGCTCCAGCTGGAGGTACCCTTAGATCTGGGTGGAGCCTTCCCACATTCCATAGCTACCTGAGAAAAAATATCTCTTACATTTATCACAATAATCCATCAGAATCCCTGATCTGAAACCATATTACAAAGCTACTGTGATAAAAACAACATGGTACTGGCAAAAACAAAAAACAGATCTGAGGATCAATGAAACAAAATAGAAAATGCAGAAACAACTCATGCACACTCCACTACCTAATCTTTGACAAAGGGGCCAACACCTTCAATAGAAGAAAGATATCCTCTTTAATAAATGGTGCTGAGAAAACTGGTTTTCCACATACTGAAGATTAAACCTAGATCCATATCAATCACCATGCACTAAACTAAAAATGAAATGGATCAAAGATCTAAATATTAAAACAGAAACAATTAGCTGGAAGATAAAATAGGTAAAATTCTTGAAGACATAAGTGTAGGCAAAGACTTTATTAACAAAACCCCAATCACACAAAAAATATTGCAAAGAATCAATGACTCTCAGTATATTAAAAAGTTTTTGTACAGCAAATGAAACCACCAACAGAGTGAAGAAACAACCCATAGCATGGGAAAAATTTTTTACTAGCCATTCCTCAGACAAAGGACTAATATCTATAATATGTAAAGAACTCAAAAAAAATCAGACCCCCCCAAATTCAAAGACCCAGTCCAAAAATGGGCATCTGAAATGAACAGACACTTCTCAGATAAAGAAGTACAAACTTTGGGAGACCACCCTGTTGACTTACAGCCCAAATCAGGCTGTAAGCAGTGTAAGCTGTAAAGAATTAACCACACAATTGGCTTGTTTTAAGAAGTGAGTTCAACCAAAGCTTATGTGACTCAGCCAAGGTAAGAGTGACTTGAAATTCCGTTCCCAGAATTGAAATTTTTTTTTCAGAAATGAAATTATTAACCATAACCTATGTCTGGTCTGTTCTTTTCCTAACACAAGAATGCTTTGACTCTTTTACAAGCCTTGCCTGTGTCAGCAATGTATCCCTAGCAAACGCAAGTAGCCCCCTTAACCCAACTTAACAATGATTTTTGTCACCAATAAATAACAGTGGTTCTGGCCTTTCAGGGTCTTGGCTGCTTGCTCAGCACTATCTTAGCTCCCCATCTCTGACTTTGATTCTGTCTCTATTTCTTCTTGCCTTGTGTTGTAACACTGAACAGGAGATAGGAGTCCACAGTAACAAACAGCAAATAAATATACAAATAAATGTTCTTAGGCAGAGCAGCACCCACTTGAAAAGGTGAAGATGGTTTCTTGGGATCCAAGGAAAAGACAAAAACGAGCCAGGCTATGGCTTAAGAAAGAAGAAAAACCACACAGAATAGAGTAGAACTGCTATGCACAGTCAATGCATCCAGCAATGAATGCTTGAATAAGTAAAAAAGAAATTAATAAGTTAATGGGTTTGGTTGTCCCTTACAAACCTGAGTTTTTTCTTAGTTCACCTTTATCATAGTTTCTGTGTCTCTCTGTTCACAAATTTTCACAATCAGAAAGATGCAAAAAAATCAGAAGCAATGTCTGACCTTCAAAGGCTGATATGTAAGTGGCACACCAGTATTCCGGAAGCAAATTTTGGCAATATACAGTGAAAGTAGAAAGCATTTCCAAGTTTGTATAGTATTTTGCCATCACATTGATTACCACGTGCAGTTGTCATAAAAGCAGCAGCAGAGTTTCCTCACTGTGTCCCACAGGAAGGAGGAGACCTGCCCACTTGCCCTGTTGCCATTGAGGTCAAAATACCAACTCCTAACTAGATCTGCACTTTGGTTCCCCTCACACCTGGCTTTTTTTTTTTAGTTATTGTATGTGGCATTTCTTGCTTATAGAATTATTAAATTATAAATTTATAAAATGTATAAATAAGCACAAATAAAAAGATAAAAATTACTCATAGTCCTGCCATCAATATAACCATGGTCAACATTTTATATCACACACACACACACACAACACTTTTTATGAAAATAAAATTGCATCCCATATACTGTATAGAGAATTTGATTACCCTTGAAGTTTTTGTTTGTTTGTTTGTTTTTATTTTTTTACCCTTGAAATTTGAGATTAGCCTGGATTGGATGATGATCTGTATCGTGATGATCTCAGCTCTTGGATCCTCCCCTTAGAAGAAGGGACCTCACATCAGAAATAGAATTTTGAAATGCACTTTATGGAGTAACAAGCAAGGTAGCTTTGTTGGAAAGCTAGTACACTGGGGAAAGATCCAAGTGGCAGAACCTACAGGTGGCAACTTCCAGTAATGAAACCACACCCTCAAGAAGGGAAGGCTAGCAAAGCCAGAAATGGCAACTGCTATTTGGAGGGATTTCTCCTGTAAGGTGTAGTAATCAGACACTACAGAATGAATAGGAATCACAGTCTCATTTATTGTCCAGGTGGCGAAACTATGGCACATGTGCCACAGTGAGCACACAGACCCTTCTCTGTCAGCCCACAAACCAACTCACTCCAGCAGTGGAGCACTGGATAACACTTGTTTTTTCCAAACTAAAACCTCAGTATTCAGGTTTGACTGCAGTGGCACTTTGCGATAAATAATGGGTTTGGGGTTGCAGTTTGGGCACTCAATCTCTAAAAGGTTTGCCATCACTGTCCTATACCAATTGGTATTCCCTATTAGCTTTTTTTTTCCTATTAGCTTTTTTGATAGCTAAGATGGATGAGTTATAGGGGGTATTACAGGGCCTGAGAATTTGATGGTCCGGAAACTTGGAGATAAAGACTGAAGACCTGTTTTGGCTTCTGGCTTCATAGTATAGCGTCTCTAATTAGGGAAGTGAGTTGGGTCTTTGAGCTGGATTATGATGGAACTAGCAGTAAGTGCCCTTTTGAGGACTCCTTCAGCCTACTCTTTGGGGTCTATTCCATTGAGATGAGGCCAGGGTCAGTGTCCTGGACCTCTCCTCGCAGAGCCAGGAAAGATCCCATATTTTCCATCAGGGACTTAAAAGATCTAGGTGACCTGGGATTGGGCATCATGAAGACCTGGTGGCTGAATATTGCTTTATTCTAGGCAG